AGTGGAAGTATTATACTTTCGCGTTTCGTCTGGTGAGTGAGGTGGCCGGAGACCAATTTCCAAAAGGTTGTCAACGCATCTGCAACCCTCGAGTGTAGCAGATGTCCATGGCCGTTGGTATTCAATTAACATCAGGTGAATCGTCTGCTGATTTAACAACTTTTCACATAAAAAAATATCTTTATGTATTTGTTAAAAAAAAGTATGTATACTTAAGTATGTTAATCACAGTTACCATGTTATCATAGTTCAAGCTTTGCTTAGTTTGGGCCTATTAATTACTTATTAGAAATGAAAATATCCGTAGTTCTGTTAAGAAACAGTAAAGTTTGAGAAGCCCTTACTGGGTGCACGAATTCATTTATATTATACTAGCGACCCGCCCCGGCTTCGCACGGGTGCAATTCTGTATGTTTGTTTTCGACATCGCATTAGAAGCCTCTAAATTTATCAGTGTTCCTCTACTATATTATGCATGAATTATAAATATAAACCTTCCTCTTGAATCACTCTATCTATTAAAGAAACCGCATCAAAATCCGTTGCGTTGTTTTAAAGATCTGAACTCTGTCTTATACTATGTATTGATAATTATTAACTATCCTTACTATGTTTTACGGTCTGTCGGCATTAATTGACCCGATGGCACGTGAGTGGCGCCCTCGCATTCCGGCGGCGGTTCGTGGAATCAAATCTGCGGTCGGCCTAGACCCTTTCTTTTTTGATGGCTTTTCAAAAAGAAAATGTATACTGAGCCAGATATTAGGAGTCGGTATTGCTTTTTTACGGTTCCGTACCCAAAAGGTAAAACGGGACCCTATCACCACGACTCCGTCTGTCTGTCTATCACCAGGCTGTATCTAATGAACCGTGATAGTTGGACAGTTGAAATTTTCACAGATGACGTATTTCTGTTGCCGCTATAACAACAAATACTAAAAAACAGAATAAATGAATATTTAAATAATACGGAACCATTCGTGCGCGAGTCCGATTCGCACTTGGCTGCATTTTTATTGAGAATAAAGTACTTTTATCTTCGAGCCAGATCTTCAAAGTCGATTTTTTTCTTTGTCAATGAAAATATACTTGTATCTTCGACCTTGTCTCGTGGATCGGACATCGGTTATGGTTGGCTGTTCTTACGAGATTACGTTTCGTGTAGGAACCAAGCAAAACACCAGCCACGGAGTCCGCGAATGGTTTATCACGACGAACGATATCAAATGTGTTACGAGGACGCCGCGCAAACATCACGACGTAGAGGGAACGTTCATTTTCAAATTGGCTTGTTGAAAATACCCGTTTTCAACCGATTTCTAAAAAGGAGGAGGTACACAGTTCGACTTTATTTTTTTAATGTCTGTTATCGCAGAACTTTCGATTGAGTGAATCGATTTTGATGATTCTTTTTTTTAATTGAAAGCTGGTGCTTCCCATGTGGTCCCGTATTAATTCCATTGGTATTGGATCTTGGGCTCCGGAGATACTTAGGGAACTCCTGGAAATCAATTGTAAAATGAATACATAGCGAGATATTTAAAGTCGGTTTTGTGTTCCTATGTTTTCATTTGAATAAATAAATAAAAAAAAAATCAAGTCAGAATTTTTAACACAACGTTATCTAGTGCCAAACTAAGCAAGCCTCGTACTATAGACACAAGGAGGTAATTTTATTTTTCTTTTTTTAAAACGTTGCCCTTACTTTAGGATAACATTATCCTGTGTTGTAAGCACGTTTTACAAACATAAATTTCACGCGGACAAACACCCAGATGCGAAACAACCAACTGTGGGTCGCACAAATAGTTGTCCCGTGTGGGAATCGAACCCACGACGCCCGACGCCGAAGCCAATACCTTGGCCACTGCGCCACGGAATCATCTAAATTATCCTTATAAATTATGCTGGCGGGTTAATAATATAATATATATATTATATTAATAACCCGACAGCACGCTTGGCATCTTCTCACAAAAAAAATGCTGTACATTATGTAACTGCATAAATATTATGGTTGTAAAAGTATATCTTCGTATTTCACATATATTGTTAATGTTAATTTAATGACCGCTTGATGGATATGGAAGATTAATTGCTACAAAAACCTCTGTTCATCGCTATTACATAGACACCTTTGAAATGCATCCTTTGAGCATTCGGTTTTGTCTTCGTGTGTGATTGTTATTGCTATCGTATTATCATTATGTTTATTAAAATTTTTAATCATTGCGAGAATGTGCAGGTTAAGTGAGGAAATTTCTCTTAACTTTAAAGCAAGGGGCATAAAAACTGACATAATTACATAATAAAAATTTGGTGTCGGCACCGGGATAAGAACTCGGTAATTTGCGTGCCTCCTTAAGCGTATCACGGTAACGGATATTAACGGAGATTAGGCATAGTCAAGTTTTACAAGTCGTCGAGGTAGAAACTTTAAATCTTACTGTACTGTGTTAACTGTTATGGGGCCACGGAGTGGCTTCGGCTGTTACACGAATGGGCAGGCTCGTCCGGGTAAGTACAACGACATCACAGAAGAACAGCGTCAAGTGGTAGTATAATACTTTCGCGTTTCGTCTGGTGAGTGAGGTAGCCGGAGCACAATTTTGAAAAGGTTGTCAACGCATCTGCAACCCTCGGGTGAAGCAGATGTCCACCGGCGGCGATATCCACTTAACATCAAATGAACCGCCTGCTCGCTTGGCAACTTTTCACATATAAAAAAAACAATAACGTCATCGAAGTGTCCGTATGTGATGTCAACGTGAGCAGTTTTTTTTTAATTAGATGCAGGTATCTGTCTATCTGAAAGTAGGTTCAAACGCGTTTTTCAATATGCGAATTTAATTCATCTTTCTTCTGCCTTTATCCCACCTAGATGGGGTCACCGCATCATGTGAATCGTGTTGTAAGCGGTTTCAGGTTCTGCTTCCGGATCCCTTTGTCCCGCTTTCTGAGAGTCTTCCTGCTGGTCATAGACTACCTTGGTTAACCTGGAAGTCTTTAAATAGACTTCCTACTCAGGTTGGCCGAAGCAAGGAGAATATGTTCAGGTGGGGACTCTCGGAAAACTCAGACCTGGACTGTATGTGTGGAGCAGTGCAGTCCATGGCCCATCCGATGTCCTGTCCCGCCTGCCCTTTCACCTGTTCGCAGCAGGATCTGATGGATGCCACAAATTGTGCTGTCGAAGTGGCTAAGTTCTGGGCTGGAAAGATATGATTTTTCATCGACACGTAAAGAAGAAGAAGCGGTTTCGGGGTGTGTTTTTTAAGACAAGCCGCTTGCCTGACGTCAACCCACTTTAGGAAACAAAAATCCAGATCCAGAAAAATTATCACATAAATACTCGGCTCTTCGTAGTCGAACCTATGACCCTCCCGCCAACGAAGTGTTTATTTATTTAAAGTTTTGCATTAACCTTTGATCATCCCCGAAAATGGAAAGCGTTCGAGATCTGAATTAATGAGTTGAGATTTCGTCGACCGACAGATTCGCTTTCTACAAGAAAAACTGTAAACTAGAAGTGCCCCGCGGTTTCGCCCGCTCCAATTATACCGTAACCATTTAGATGAAGCTATAGATAGACTGTAGAAAAAACTATAACGAACCCACTCCCTCTGTATAGTAGCACAAGAGACAGGTTAAAGACATTAAAGTCATCTACACTAAAATTACAAAAATAAAAACACAACAGAGAGAAAAAAATGTTTACGTAAAAAGAAAAATTTACGAAAAATAAAAAAAAATGTGTTAAAATTGTAATTATAATAGTATTAACAAATTAAAACAATAAAAGGTTGATTATCCGCCAATCGGATAATCAAACAGATAACTAAACACTACACACGCACAGACAAACAACAGTACATAATTATTAACAAAAAAAAACGACTTCAATCAGAAAATTAAAAACATTATTAATACCTATAACATTCTCGATTTTTCGTGGATGCCATCATCAGATCCGGATTTTCTTATCATGGTACCACCATTGGGATATCTACTTTCTGACAAAAAAAGAATCATCAAAATCGGTTCATAAACGACGAAGTTATCCACGAACACACATAAAAAAATATATACGGTCAAATTGAGAAACCTCATTTTTTGAAGTCGGCTAAAATACTACAAAGCGATTGTCAAAGAACGCTCAACAGTTCGCAACTCCAGGACAGTTGCTATGGCGACCGTCCCGTTACCATAGTAACTTGACACCAGCGCCGTTGAACCCCGTTCCATGATAACACTAGGATACTCTAATTAACTCATCATCCTCCTGACCGTATCCCAACTTAGTGGGATCGGCGAAACATGTGAATCATGTTACAACATGATTCACATGTGTGTTTTTGGAGTGGTTTTGGCTAGGTTTTTACGACCGGCCTGCTGACGTCAACCTTCCTTCGGAACCGATCCAGGTCCGGAACAATTATTTGTGGGCTACACAATTTTTTTTTTAATTTGTAACAAATGCACCTACCTAAACTTTTCTGGACCACCCCAAGCTTGACTGGTAGATAATGTTGATGGCACCAAGTCCGCCATTGTACATTCGTGTGTGTGCGTAAACAATGAATAAATCGTCCCGTGTGAGAATCGAGCCAACGACCCGCGGCGCCGAAGTCAATGCAAATTAGCAACTGCTCCACCGAAAATCTACAGTGAAAACTGAATTCCATACCTATGTGTTTAGCCGTGATAGCTCAGCGTCCGGGCGCTCGCTTTCAACCGACTTCAAAAACGGAGGAGGTTCTCAATTCCACTGCTTTTTTTTAATAATAATAATAATAATAAATATTTAAGGATACATTTTTACACAACATTTTCTGTCCCAAACTAAGCAACGCAAGCGTTGTACGCAAGTACAAGTCTGGTACCCATAGTACTTGTAAGCAAGTACAAGTACTATGGGTACTAGAAAACTGATAAACATACTTAAACATACTTTTCTTTTGTAAATAAATACATATTATAGATTTTTGTTTGTTACCTCAGAACTTTCGATTGAGTGAATCGATTTTGATGATTCTTTTTTTAATTGAAAGCTGGTGCTTCCCATGTGGTCCCGTATTAATTTCATTGGTATTGGATCTTGGGCTCCGGAGATACGAAGGGAACTCCTGAAAACCAATTATATGTAGATATTTGAAGTCGGTTTTGTTTTACGTTAGTGAAGAAATTGTTAAAATTCAATATACTCGAGCTAGTTTAAGTGCTGACTTATCACGTCTTCAGCGGAGAAGAACATCGTGAGGAGATCTAATCCGAATTGGGATCGCGTGGTTTTTGGACTATGCCCTAATATCCAATAGCAGTACAAAGTAGGCCTTCGCTCAGCGGTGAGACAAGTATGGGCTATTAATTTACGTTTTCTACCTATATATTTTATCAACAACAAACATTGTCGTACAATTTGACAGTAATTTAATTCATGATCTGTTCACACGTGTCGACGTTACGCGACGGTTTCTATTTTACTAAGACGGGGAAAGTGTCTGGCACCCGGTGATTATGCTTGACATTTGACATGCCCGAATTAATTAAACGCTACCTGTTCCGAGAAACGGAATGTAGTGTTGCCATGCTATTACATTAACGGATTCTCGAAACTTCTCGACAAATTTTGGAGGATATTAATTTTTAAAGTGCCATTCTTTGCACTGAAGAAGAAATTAAGACTGATTCTACAATTTTTAAATTTCATCTTAAGTTTTTTTTTATTGTATTATTTTAATAAGTGGTCGTTTGCTGCAAAGAAAACGCACTAAATGACGCCAAAGGTGTTTAAAAATGTAATTAAAATAAACCTGCCAAGTGCGAATCGGATTCGCGCACGAAAGGTTCCTTACAATGTCTATAAAAACGGCAATTATGTCTCTTGTACGGGAGCCTAACTGAAACATTACCAGTCTGTTTTTGTAGCATATGTTGTTATAGCGGCAACAGAAACACATAATCTGTGAAAATTACAACTGTCTAACTATCACGGTTCATAAGATACAGTTTAGTAACCGACGGACAGACAGACAGACAGCGGAGTCTTAGTAATAGGGTCCGGTTTTACCCTTTGGTTACGGAACCTTAGAAACGGCAAAAGACTGTTGTATGGAAGGCCCAACTAAATACTTTTATTCTATTCTTGTGGCGACAGAAATACATCACTGTGAAAATAACGCGAGTACCGTGATTTTTGTTCACCCAAAAAGTGCTCAAAGCGCCTAAAAAGTTTTCACTTCAAAAATACAACCGAAGTCCTTCTTTGAAGTCGGTTCTTGTTCTAGACTTCTTTTTATCAATTATCGCTTCGTCTGCAATCGACCTTAGCCGTGTCATGAATGTCTGCACAGATTAATAATAGCGACACGCGATTAATTTCCCGCCGAATTATTAATGTAATGATTTCGTTGTGTGTGCTTTTTGCTGTTAAATTTGCCAATGTTTGAAGGCACCATCATTTATCTGCCACATCATTAAATGCTAATGATAAACTATTTATAATATGAAAGAAAAACTTATCTGTCTCCTAAAACAATTTCATTCGCTGATTACTTTAACTATGATCACGAATGTATCCTATAATAATACGAGAATAAACTAGAATAACTGTCTTCAGTACAGAGGTCTCTTTTCAACAGTGGGAAATGTGAAGTAGTGACGTAATATCTCATTGTTCGGGCGCCAGCTTTGAATTCAATATACTCGACCAACCTGAGTTCGATCCCCGGTGTCGACACCAATGAAATTGTTTATTTTAAGTGCTGACTCAGTGGTGAAGAAACACATGTGGATAACACCCGCATGTTTTGGGAACAAGAACAAAAAAAAATATTTCGAAGATATGCGAACGTACCGGCACTGGGGATCGAACTCATGTTGCTAGAGATTATTAAATTAAATGTTAGCGCCCGGACGCAGAGCTATCACGGCTCAATATCAATCTATCTTGACAATAATTTTCAATTATAAAATGAGGCATAAAATTATCGATATATCTTTCGTCGCTTGCACATCACTAGTTATCCCCGCAGATGCTTTTAAAGGTTATGGGTTTAGCTTAAAGGCCACGGGTTGAACGTTTTGCAACGCGCTATTCGTACCCAATTCCATGTAAAGACGTACGTAGCCGCGCACCTTGGTTTGTATTTAGTTATCCTTACCGTGACGGAACCGGATAACGGATTATACGGGGAAGTCCCCAGCGCCACGTGAACGGCGTGTTGGCTATACGACAGAGTTAAGGAGGCCATCTCGAGTGTAATTTGGCTTATAGATTTCCAAGTCTGGAACACAAAAGCGTACACATCTTATACAAATGAAATAACAGGAGCTATCATATAAGTATGTTGTTTTAATACAGTACAAGTACAATTTCATTAACAAAAAACGAAACTGAATTGAAGTATTTATGATATTAATGGATATTAAAGGACATGCTAGCCAAAGCGAACCAAGAGCAAAAATATTGCGGTATCAAACATATAAAAATACAACTCAACTCCTTCCTGAAGTCTATTGCAAAAAAAATATCATGGATCATGAAACGAAGCTAGATTAATTTAGAAATGTAAAAGAGAACAATACGACACTGTCAAAGTACCAACTGAGACAGCGAAATGTTGTTCTTCTTCAACCCCCTAAAGAATTCCTCCCTTTTCATCCTCGCCATCTCCAATATTCTCCTCACGAGCGGGTCCCTCTTCAGAGCTCTCCTCACTTCCGTCTCGTCGACGAGCGTTAGCTGCGTCGGCGGTGGCATCGACGTCGTGGCCGTCGTTTCCGTTTTCCACTTCTGCGTCGTCCTTTTGGTCTTCATGTCTTCTAGCAGTTGATCGAACTCCGACTTCCCCTGCCGCGCCACGTTTTCCATGTGCTCGACGATCTTCTGCACCACCACCAGCTGGTTGTTCCAAGCCTGCAGCAGTTCTCGTTGGCGCGAGGCCTCTGCCCTTCTGGCTGCCTTCAGCTTCCCGCAGCGCGCCGGGTCGCACGCTCTGCGTTTGCCCTTTGGAGACGTTGATGTCGTTACCACGCTAATGGGCTGGTCCAACTCTTTGAGCGGGAGTACATCGTCCAATTCTTGCGTTATATCATCTGTCTTCCGAATTTTGCCTGATCTCTCATCTGTTATATCAATTCTTTTGGTCTGTTCGTCGTCAACAGTGTTGTATGGGTTTTCGTCGATTCCATTCTCCATTAAGTCGTGTATTGGTCCAGTCAGGTTTTCTACTGCTTCGGCGCGGTCTCGGGCTTCGATGACGGCGTCTGTGGGATTAAAAACGATTTTTTTGCTTCTGTGAAAGAGTGGTTTGGGAGCTGACGACATCTGATGTTTTATGATTACCGTCGTACATGGACATCGACAATAGTGATACTCGTATATATATATATATATATATATATATATATATATATATATATACTACTATGGTTTTTTTTTGTATGTGAAAATTTGCCAAACGAGCAGATGGTTTACCTAATTTTAAGCGAATACCGCCCATGGACATCTACTACACCAGAGGGTTCCAGATGCGTTGACAACCTTATGAAAATTGGGCTTTGTATTATATATATATCAATTCCAATGGGTTTCCGCAGTTGCGCGAATGGGCAGCTCTGACCAGATAAGTAACACGACCTCACAGAAGACAAACTTCAAGTGGAGGTCTTCTCTGGTGAGTGCGGTAGCTGGGGTCCATTTTATTAAATGGTGGCAACGCATCTGTAACCCTACGGGTGTTGCAAATGTCCATGGGCGGCGGTGAACCGTCAGCTCGTATGCCACCTTCTCATATTAAAAAAAATCCACTACGCCAATCGGGCCGTCCTAGTAGAGGATGATGATGGTGACGAGTCATACCAATGGGATTACAACCTCATCGAAAAACGCAGACCCTGCGTCCACGGAACCTTCGGCATCAGTTGAATAAACACAGAATCTACTCACAACACAACGCAATCCTGAACACGGCAAAGACGACGCGCGACGCCATATTTATTTGCAGCGCAAAACTGTTATCGCCTTTTCTATATTGCAGTTTGATTGCTTTCCGAGTTGAAGCGTAGTGGCTCGGCGGTTGACAGACCACCGGAGTGCCCGGTTCGATTTTGTGACATTTGTAACTGCCCTCGTCGAAACCGAATGTGTGTGAAGATTTTCATTATGGGTGCATTCGGATTTTGTCGTGTTGCCAAATACTTGTGCTTGTGGGTGTTTGTTTTTTTTTTTTTTTTTTTTTTGTTTTTTTTTTTATAACATTGCCCTTGCCGGTAACGTTATCCTGTGTTGTAAGGACGTTTCACAAACATAAATTTGTGTGTGTGTGAGTGTGTCGTGTGAATATGTGCGAAGATAGCTATTCGTCTATTTGACTACAAATTTAAATGTTTAAGTGAAGATATTAGCTATATTTGGCTATATTTTTTACGACCGACCGCCTGAGTGACGTCAACCCTCCTCGGGAAACCACCAAAGCCAATGCCTTGGCAACTGCATCACGGAGTCAATGAATATAATTATATACTAATCTTGTGATATATATATTTCCACCGTTAGTTGACTCATCACGATATCTCTAGAACCATAAGGCGTAGAGACTTGAAATTTGGTAGGAATATTCCTTTCGCCGAGTAGAGGTCAGCTAAGGACGGATTTAACGAAATTCCACAAAACAATGTGTGCCGGCTCACCTAGTCTTTATATATATAATTCTTCTGTACGTGTATCTCTGAACTCCTCCTAAACCGCTGTACCGATTTTAATGAATTTTTTTTCTTTCTTTTTCATTCGTTTTTTTTTTATTTATAAGTTGTTGTCGGATATAAGTCGCGTGTACAGCACAATGTTTGTTGGGTCTGCTAGTGTTATAATAAAAATAAAAAAAAACACTAAGCACTCACTATGCAAAAAAGGAAAATTGATTGGGAGTTTTTTCCGCGACTGTACCGCGTACAATAAATCGTTATTACATTTCGGCTTGTTAATAAAAGGTACACGTGTACAGACAACGCTTAATTGCTTCCGGGCATTCGATTTCCGCGTTGGTTGGAAGTTGTTGTGGACGACACAGCGCCGCGCACGCTAGCCTAGTGCCTTATCTGGGTTCGAATCCAAGTACGAATATAGTCAATCAGTGCATAATTCTAAAGCGACAGCATTTCAATCCGACATTAATCAAAGAAAAAGATAAAAAAATTAAAAGGTAGTTTTTTTCTTCAAATTTTTTATGTGCGACGATGGCAAGCGGGCTGGCGGTTCACCTGATGTTAAGTGATAACTGCCGCCCATGGACATTTGCAACACCTGTAGGGTTGCAGATGCGGCAATTTTTAATAAAGTAGGCCTTGGTTACCTCAGCCACCAAACGAAACGCAGAAGTATAACTCTTGAACTTCACGCCGGTCTTCTGTTAGGTCATGGTACTTCCCTGGACGGACCTGCCCATTCTTGCAACAGCGAAGACTGCTGCGTGGCCCACAACAGTAGAAAAATAAATTTCAAAACTGTGGTACATCTTTTTATTGCATATTGGAATAGTTTTGAATTATTATTATCAAGTAAATTGGTACAGAAGATCTGCTATCTGCTGAAGAACTGTTGAACATAGGGCCTCTCCCACAGACTGCCACGAAGCATGATCCTGAGCCACCTGCATCCATCGACTACCCGCACACTTGCACAGGTCGTCACTCCATCTAGTGGCGGTTGCGATGACATTGCGATGGCCAGTATGAGGCTGCCACTGGAGATTACATTCTGTCCTTTAAATCATTTTGTTTAACTGTTGTCGTTTGTTTGTAATTTTGTTTTGCACTCGTTCAAAATACTCTTTCGAGAATCTATTAGGACGTTCTTAATTGAGCGAGCCTTGTTATAGATTTGTTTTTTCCCAGTTTTAAGAAAAAAATATTTATTTTTAATTAACGAGAGTTTTTGCTAACTCGGCGTTACGGCTGGCCCGCCCCCGCATTTTTTGCCCCCGAATCTACGCCCATACTAAATTTCATGAAAAACACGAGCCGTTTCCTATGCTCATTCTATGCTAATCCCTGACATTATGCAACAACCATACAGCATGACGTTACCACCGCCGCGACAATAAATGACACTTCTAACGCTAATTGCCAATAATCATAAAAAAGTATAATCGTTAAAAAATCTATAGTTAAAAAAAATATATTTTCAAACAAAATTATTAAACAATAAGAAACGAAATCCTTTACAACTACAAACGACTGATTCATTTACATTCACATACTTTTTCATTCGTTGCGAGCAACGTCGCATCTCAAGTGTCTCCTTCTAACAGTATGTTTTTATCTCTTTTAAATTCATTCAACTAATTCTTATGCTTTGTGACCTTTACAAATGAACTTTATACTACAGTCATATATGTGGTGTTCTAAAATTATTTGTTTTGGAAAATTTAATAACTCGGTAAATATTGATGTTTAAAGAAAGTAACTGTTTAATACAATTTAAAAAAGTTATCCTCCATATGTGTTTTGATTTATTCGTTGTATGTTTTCCATTCTATACATCTTGTGCTTGGTATCGTTAAAGAATCTGTCCTTCTAGAAGCTGCGAGCTTCTATTCCCTTCTTAATGTTTTTTCCTCTTTCCAGGTGGTCCGCGGCGTGCACATAGAGGAGGCCCATCTGGTCAAGAAGAGGAGTATAGACCAGCCCCTTAGGATAAGCATATTTTACGACCACTCTGTATATAGGTGAGATAATTATTTACATCTTTTTTTTATATATATATATATATATATATATATATCAGTTCGTGTATATGTGACTGAACGGCTGATTATGATGAACTGAACTGAATAATTGGATTCGATTATGGTTTAGATTAACAATTCGGCCCACTACAAAACGTCATTTTTTATATATAAGTTATTGTCGGATTTAAGGCGTGTGTACATGACAACGTCTGTCGGGTGCGCTAGTGATTATATGTGGTATGGTGGAATGGTAACATGATAGGTATCTTATTTTGAAGAAAAACATTCTACGTCTACTGTGTTTTTTTTGTGGTAAGTGGTCCGTCCGGGTAAGTGCGACGACCTCCGACGACCGGCGTGTGGAAGTGTTACACTTCTGCATTTCGTCTGGTTAGTGAGGTAGCCGGGGCCCGCTTTATTGAAAGGTGGCAGCGCTTCTGCAACCAAGCGGGTGTTGCAAATGTCCATGGGCGGCGGTTATCACTTAACATCAGGCGAAACGCCAGCTTTGATTGAAGTCTCTCTCTTGTCTTGGAGGAGCCAGCCCGTTCGTCCAACAGAGAAGCTGCATGCCATTCCGTCTCAGAATTACTAAAGGGATGATCTATTTTGTTTATTGTTGTGCACCAGCAACTTGTGTAAGCTCCCGCTGAATACATTAAGGAAGCTCGATCGGGAAAACACCAACGCGTTACGTAATTAGTTAGACTTACGCCCGGTTTCTGAAACACTGATCATCGTAGATGTCAGCTAATCAGCCGTCAAATTGCTTTTCAAATTTCATTTTAGTTGCCAAAAGGATAGTTAAACTCTCTGAATTGACCAGAATGATCTTCTTAATGATCAGAATAATCAATTCAAATTGCTTAACCATCCTTTTGGCAACTCAAATGAAATTTGAAAAGCCATTTGACGGCTGATCAGTTGACATCTACGATGATCAGTGTGTCAGAAACCGGGCGTTAGTATTGCGTCCCATTAGTGTTGGGCCACGGAGTGACTCCTCCTGTTGCACGAATGTGCAGATTAGTCCAGTTAATTACCACGACGTCACAGAAGACCCACGTGGAGTAAAACTGTTATAATTATGCGATTCGCCTGGTGAGATAGGAAGCTGGGGCCCACCTTTTTGAGGTTGATCAGGCATTTTTACTAATACAACCGATGGGCGGCTATAATCTTTACATCAGGTGAACCACGTGGTCGCTTTTCAGCGCTTTACACTAAAAAATCCAGCCATTACAAATGGCAAGAAATATAGACGCAAGCTATCAAAAGTGTTTCGCAGAATGTTTCAGTTCTCCTTTCCATTTTCAGATTGGAGCCGGAGAAGTTCGACATGATCAATGTGAGTATACCAGTTGGGGCTTCTGCTGATGCTGGCCGTCTACTGCCTACCGCGGTCTATTCAGAATCATCATCACTTCACCATTTTTCAGTCGACTGCCTGACGTCTGCCGAGGCCGTTTACTGCTCGTCTTAGTCTATTCATCATCATTACTATCATTTCGGCCTGTTAGAGTCCACTGTTGAACATGGGCATTGCCCACAGACTGCCACGAAGCACGATCCTGTACCACCTGCATCCATCGACTTTCCGCGCCATATGCACAGGTCGTTAGGTTCTATTCCGTGATTAGCGACATAGCCTTCTTCTAAATGAGCCATCCTTTTTAGGAAATTATTTATTTATCTCTAAATTTAGCTTTTCGGCTCGTAATAGTATTTTTCAAAATAAGCTATAAAAATGTAGTATTATTTTATAGATAAAGTAAAGAATACACGTAAATATACTAGGTTAGGGCCACGTGCCAGTCTTCTCTGTCGCACCTATGGGAGGTCCGGGTAGTACCACGACCTCACAGAAGACAGGCGTGAAGTGGGATTTATACTTCTGCGTTTCGTCTGGTGAGAGAGGTAGCCGGGGCCCACTTTATTAAAAGGTGGCAACACATCCGCAACTCTATGGGTGTTGCAGATGTCAATGGGCGGCGGTTCTCACTTAACATCAGGTGAACCGCCAGCTCGCATACAACTTTCTCGTATAAAAAAAAGCGTTGATTGAAGTCGGCGGTGTCGGTCGTTGATTTACGGTGGTAGGGCCACGCAGCAACCTCGGCTGTTGCACGAATGGGCAGGCCCGTCCGGGTAAGTACCACGACCTCACAGAAGACCAGTGTGAAGTGGAAGTATGGCAAATACTTTCGCGTTTCGTCCGGTGAGCGAGGTAGCCGGAGCCCAATTTTCAAAAGGTTGTCAACACATCTGTAACCCTCGGGTATAGCAGATGTCCATGGGTGGCGGTATTCACTTACCATCAGGTGAACCGTCTGCTCGTTTGTCAACTTTTCACATAAAAAAAAAAGTCTCGCTGCGGCGTAGAGTTAGTTGATTTAATATTTGCACTCTTTGTCTTCGTCCAGAACACGATATTGCCGGAGGCAGTGCAGTTCTGGGAAAAGGCGCTGAAGGTGCGGAAGACAGGGGGGCCCATCAAGCTGAACAGGTAAGCGCGTTCAAACCTGACGCAGTATGCGACGGATCCCGTGACATGCTACAAGTATAACAGTCGAGTAAAGTAAAAAAATAAGTAAAGTAACAGCCTATACACATCCCACTGATGGGCAAAAGCATCCTCTGTACAAAGGTACCAGGTCATAGTCCACCACGCGGCCCCACTATGGATTAGCGGACTTCACATATTACTTCCAAATATTTTATTTTTCGTTAGTGTTTCGAAAATATGCAGGTTTCCTCACAATGTTCTCCTTCACCGCTGAGCACGTGATAAGTCAGCACTTGAAACTAACAATTTCATTGGTGCCGGCACCGGGGATCGAACTCGAGTATATTGAATTAAAGGCGAGCGCCCGGACACTGAGCTGTCACGATAAGAAAAATATAAAATATTTCGGGATTCAGGACACGTTTACAGAACGTTATCTAGCCCTATACTTAGTAAACCAAAGCTCAGTACTATTGATACTAGGTAACTGATAAACATACCTAAAAATACTTTACTTTTGTCAATAAATACATATTATGTAAACACACCAGGCACTAAAAACCACTTTTTTCATCTCAGAGTATTTTTACTGTAGTGGGTATCGAACACACGACCCTCTGGCTAGAATACAGGTCTATAATCCACTCCGTTAATCGGCTTATCGAAGTGTATGTCGTGAAGTGTGTATATCCCGTAAAACGGGACCCTATTAATAAGACTCCGCTGTTTGTCTGTCTATCTGTCTATCCGTCCGTCCGTCTATCACCAGGCTGTATTTCATGAACCGTGGTAATTATTCAGTTAAAAAACAGAAAAAAAAAATTAAGTGGGGCTTCCATACAATAGACATGATTCTTTTTGCTGTTTGTACAGATAATGGTACGGAACCCTTCGCGTGCGAGTCCGACTCGCACTTGGTCGTTTTTTTTTACATGTAAGGAACTAGCTGTTCGCCCGCGGCTTCGCTCGTGTTGAAGCCCTTGAATAAATGTCTTTCTTTAAAAAAATTCCAATTAAAAATAGCCTATGTCCTTTCTCAGGTATCTATGTACCAAACTTCATTTAAATCGGTTCAGTAGTTTTGGCGTGAAAGCAAGACAGACAGACAGAGTTCGTATTTATAATATTAGTATGGATATTGGGAAATAATCCTGCGTCGAAGTAGGTTTCAGGATTGTGGCACCGATGTCTCTACACTCGGCGATTGGTAATTATAAAAACGCATAATAATTGCAGTCGTTTATTTAAAATGAATTAAAAAAAATTACACATTGCCTTATAAAACTATTCTATACTTTAATACACATTGTACAAAAGAAACACTATCTATTTCAAGGTCATTTTAACAATTTTTCACTTCAAAAATTATTAAAATGTACTGGAAAAACGTCTATATATCCTATAATAAAAAGTGAAAGACAGACGACAGAAGCTCACAAACTATATATATATAAAAAAACATATGTTACTCAGTAAATATATTACATATTTTAAGGTGTTGTAGTTGTGAAGTTTTCACACAGAAATAATGTTTTATACAACAAGAAACATGGACTAATCAGCATCAAACAAGATTTTTGAAATTATACTTCTTTTTGTGCGTTTCGAAAGAACACAAAGAGTACTGGCACACTGCACAGGCGATAAAATTAATATTTATTTTTCTTTTGTTACGCTAAAGAAGTATAACTTCTTACGTGTTTTTATTTGTTTCGAAACTAAACACATAAAACAGGATATAAACTATTCATTCTTACGTTTAAAAAGAGTATACACGAGACTCAATTGGAACGGGAATTTTGCAACCGTAACAAAATAATAGCCTTTTAAATAGTTACTTAACCGTTTTTGGTTAGTTAAACGGTTTTATGGCAACGAATTGACAACGGAACGGCGCGGACGACGGCCGCAATCGGATCGTTTCTCGTTCCGCTACACGAACGCCATCTGCTGGCAGAGTATGGGTATCTCGTAGCCTATCAGCTGATTGCAGTTGGGGCAGTAGTGGTTCTTGTACTTGCAGCTGTCCGTGCAGTAGATGAAGATGGCGACGGGGATGAGGCTGCGGGTAAGGAGGTGATTAGTATAGAAAAGGTCTGGCGCGGTTGTCGAGACGTGTAATCGTTAATAACATTTATATTCATATCTTCTAAAGTTCGCAAGATAACGAACAGTTATAATCTTGTATAAATAGTTGAACGCAATCATTTGGGGATAATCCTCGTCAAACTTAGGGACACTATAAAATTTATACATTTTCCTATCCCGAGAGACATTTTAATTTTTTTGTCACCCGCGTTTCAGAGGGGATCTCTTTACTCCCGACCAGCCCCCCAATGGCCGTTGACTGACATATAGTCAACTTCCATTGGCCATTGTCCACTGTCTGTAACGAACTCTTTTTTTTTAATGCGAAAAGTTGTCATACGAGCTGACGGTTCACCTGATGTTAAGTGAATACAGCCGCCCATGGACATCTGCCACACCCGAGGGTTACAGATCCGTTGATAACCTTTTGAAAATTGGACTCCTTACTCACCAGACGAAACGCGAAAGTATTTGTCATACTTCCACTTTACGTTGATCTTCTGTGAGGTCGTGGTACTTACCCGGACGGGCCTGCCCATTCGTGCAACAGCCGAGGCTGCTGCGTGGCCCTACCACCGTAAGATGGCTTATAGGTGACATTGCCTCATTAGACAATGCACACATGAGTATATGCGCGGCCTAACCAACGCGGATGGCGGTATCATGCTCGTGGAATCTGCCTATCCCACGATATCGATGAAGCTATAACAGTCTACGGACTAAAAGCAAAAACATTCGTTGAAGTAAAGAAAAATAGTCTTGTTATTGTTACAGAGTTATTTGGAATTTAGATCATCACTCATTCCTTGTATAAACTTAGTTTTATTTATAGGAATGCTACGCGCACGAAATCTTGGTAAATCGCTCGTAAATATCGGATTTGTTTGAATGTTAAGACGGGCTAATGTGTTCACTTCTGAAAGACGACTCCCAACTGACCTGTTGGTTTGATCAAAATCAAAATCAAAATCAAAAATATATTTATACAAATAGACGCTTGCGCGCTCTTATGAATCGTCAAAATTTACATCAAAGATTATGTGTATAGGTTCGTAAGGTACCACCGGTTCGGAAAGCAGTTTCTGTTGAGAAGAGACCGTCAAGAAACTCAACAGTTGCTCTTTTTCAAATATATCAGGGTACAATATAATATACAGGTATAATAGTCTTATTCGAGCCTACGTGAGTATCAACAGTATTAACTCCACACATTGGCATCGTCGAGATATTCCGAAATGGTAATAATATGCTTTAATCATTAGTTGATTTTTAATTTTACATTTAAATTGGTCAAGCGGCAGACTTAATATCGACTCTGGGATTTTATTATACATGCGCACACTTTGCCCCATGAACGACCTATTTACTTTTTGTAGACGAAACAATGGTGTAATAAGTTTCTCCTTATTTCTAGTGTTTATTTTATGTCTGTCACTATTCTTTTATGTCGTATATACAAAATATTACAATAAATATATTGAGAAGCAACAGTGAGTATATTAACCTCTTTGAAAAGATCTCTGAGTGAATTCCGGGCTCCGATATTGGAGATTGATGTAAAAGATTTCCCCCAAGTTGGAGAACCACTAAATTTCAAATTTTACTCGTGACAGGTTCGAGCGATATATTATTGCATATTGCTTCACGACCCTGAGATCACGGTTAAATTTGTTCGAAGGCAGAGAACGAAGCCTAGATTGAAGTTGTAGTGGGATTTTGTTACGAGGTGCTATTTTCTTTACTTATTCGTTGCTGTAGACTGCAAGGCAGTCAGAGTATAATTCTAATGTTAGCCTCTGGCTCAATCAATGAGGTGGTTGTTTTTGTTAGTAACTTACAATTTTATCTCTTGCGACTAGCAATGAACTGCTGTTGCTTGTAAAGTTAACGGATCTTTGAGAGGTTTATAATTATTCCTAAAAGAACACACCTACAGATGAAGTTCATACAAGAAGTGTGAAGTCGGCGATGTACCTCGATTAGCTTAGTTACAGCCTGTTCAATAATTCTTTGAAAACGTTCACGTTATACTCTGACTGAGAGAAGTGACCTGACAAACGGTAAGCCGTCGGCAGGCCATCAGATATTCTTCGCCATCTCATCACAGACAGTCTGGGTTTTCTGTCGAAAAACTGTCAGCCGTCTCACCACAGAAACGCGACGATCAAAGCCAGTATGTGGGTGAATGCTCCTGACTCCCTCACCACCAGGGAATGCACCATCTGGCCGCAGTGCTGGCACCTCAGCAGCTTCCTGTCGGGGCCTGGCCGTACTGTGCTCGTCGGATTTGTAACTGTAAGGAGATCGAATTAATATCAGTCGGTGTTCTTGGAACAAATAGTAGGAGACTTTAAGGAATGTCATTATCATCTTCTAGCGTTTATCCCACCTAGGTGTTACCGGTACGCTAAGTGAATTGCGTTATAAGTGGCATTAGCTGGGGCCCTCTCTTCCTCGGAGCAAACACCCGGATTCAGAAAAATTGTCTGTGTGTCATAAAAAGATTTGTCCCGTATGTGAATCCAAATCAAACCCACGACCCTCGGCGCTGAAACTAATAAGTTAGACGCTTCGCCACCGGGAAGGCTTCGTAGGGATTTCTTAATTGAAGATAAAGTAGGTACGTTTACGTACATTTTTATCAATACCGAATTCTCTGCATTTTATATACTAGGGCACCGGGCAGACGTTGTCCTGTTGTACACACGACTTAAATCCGATAACATTTAACTTTAAAATAAAAAAATGTGTAAATTTCATTTAAATCGGTCCAACCGTTTAGGAGTAAATAACCTAAATACCGACTGCAGTGCCATCTGCCGGGCTGATTTGTGAATCTAAACCATCCAGGGCACCACCCAAACGTATACAAAAAAAAAACATTCACATCGGTCTAGCCGTTTAGGAGGAGTTCAGTGACAACACACGTACAGTAGAATGATATATATAAAGATAATTTTAATCGTAACCATTATTTCAGCCAAACATGGCTTTTGTCTGATCGTGAGGAAAACGGGCGTGTTTTTTTATCTAAGCACCTTTAGTGCTATGGGCTACTGTTTACATCCTTACCCGTCGTCACCACCTCGGTCCGCGGCGGTGGGGTAACTGGGACTACGCTGGGTTGATTAACCCTATCGACTTCGGTATACGCCGGTGGGGGTTCCGGAAAATCCGTAACTGGTATAGGTGCTAGTAGGAAACCGTCGTCCGGCGTCGGCAGCCTTCCGTAGTAGCCTGCCTCCTTAGACATGAAGGCTGGCAGGTTAGAGTTAGTTGTGGTGCCGGAGTTTGGAGAAGTAGTGACGCCTTAAAGAGATAAGAAACCGAAGAGTTGAGATTATCACAATAAAATGCATTTTATAACCATTAACTTTACATAATGATTGAATCAATTGTTGTTGATGGTCTCATGTAGATAAAAAGAATCGCATAATTCTTTGCTTATATTTGTTTCTACAATAAAAATTAGATAATTAAAGTCAAGGATAATATTACTAAACTCTACTAGACAGGGGTAGATATTAGGATGAAAGGTACTCGTCGCAAAGACAACCACATCTTTAACCTCCTGCCCTTAGTCTACCTAGATGGAATCAATGGAATCCTAGAGGATAAACTAAAAGTCGATACTAATGCTTTTTAATTTCTTTATGCTAAAATACAATCTTAAAACGATTGAATCGGTATTACTGGAACTGGTTCCTTGTGACGCGTGCAAAGTTCTCGGCGGTGCTGGTCTCGGTGGAAGATATCTGTTTCGAGGGGGAGGAGTCGAAGCATCATCTTCGTCGTCGCTGTCATCAACGGATGCCCGCACTTCGATTGTTCTGTCCTTGAAAGGGTCGTAGAGTGCCGTATCCTGAGGAAGGTATACAGACATTATGCAGTAAACGAGGGATATGATCTAGATTTTTTCTTAATTGGTTTCGAACCCATGCTGGCGTACTTAATTGGGATAAGTCCGTGGTTTCAAAAATTCTGTTGGAAGTTATGATCTAAAGTTAAAGGAACTAAATCAATTTTGCTACTCGTTTCCGACATCAAAGACGAGATAATCGGCAGGCTTTTTGTTTGAGATATTTCCTGTATTCGACGTCCGATTGGTTCATGCTTACAGCAAAGGAGTTAAACATTCTCCGACTTACCGCCCTATTATAACTTGACATTAAGTAAGGGTGCATAGGCTTTTACCGAGAAAATGCATATAAGAACTAATAAAACATCATATTATCCAACCTGATGATTATTAGTCAAAGACTAGAAAAGCAAGCAATGCTCCAAAAAAGGACATTGCTCACTTAACGAAATTTGGAAATGAGCCCGTAACAAGAAAACTATCTTAACAGAGCATACCAGGCCTATAAAATTACTTGATTCCACTTTCACAGGCATCTTTCTCATAATTATTATCATTTTATTTTTATAAAGCTGTAATCTACGAGCACGTGGGGAAACTTTTAACAATGCACTTAAAATATCAGTTAACATATCCATTAGTATCGGGACTACACTTAGAACTCGTTTTGCTCAGGAATAATGGATTGAGCTGCCCGGAGCAAGTTACATCGGTCCATATAAAATGGGATCGCAATTTTTATAGCGCTTCTCATATAAGTATGTTGCCTTACCTGCCAAACCTAAATTTTGCCAACCTTAAATTCTAATTACATGTGTTTAAATGATACATTACGGCGAGTTACGTCGCGGAAATTGCGTGACCTACTACCACTTCTAGCATTAGATAACTTATGTCATACTTTCATTATCGATATTCTCTTGCATTCGAACTAAAACTTATGGATGATTCCTATGTCTGAAATGGAGCTAAGTATTATTCTTCTGCATATCGTCATGTTTGTAACGAGTCCATTCTTTAAACGTCTGGCAATGGTAAACTTATTGTGTCTATGGTGTATAATGTATTTCTTTGTTATCTTTACAGTAGTTGCATTGACTTTCACTTAGTCACTGCCACCTACATTACCATCGGGTACCACAGTAGTGAGCTAGCTATTGGATTTGTTTAGTATGTTTGTTAGAACCATCACCTGCACCGCTGTAACTTCTGACCGTTCGCTCGCGTTTTCATTCCTTGGACTCTCAACAACGCTGCTCGCACTGCTTTCGGGTATGTCTATGTATATAACAGGATTGTCTTCATCTATATCCCGGTCCGGTCTCGCAGACTCCGTTTCTACACGATCTGCGTTCGCCTGAAAATATAAAGCAGTGTCGCTAATTGTCCTTGTCGTTCCTTTGATTTGTATTTTCGTCTCTTTTAATTTTTTGTGCCTTAAGAGGGAGCAAAATACACACAAGAAAAAGAGTTTGTTGAAAACATTACCGTGACATCGTTTGTTCCGGCATCCCTGTTGTCTGCTCTGTTAGACTGCTCAGGCGGTCTATTTGGTGCCACCCCTATTGGCTTTCTGGGTAGGTTGCTCCATTTGGCGGCCGCCGTAGCGTCCAGGGATGGCACGTCGATGACCACCGGGTTGACGTATGGGTAGCCCTGGTAAGGGCGCCTCTGCGTTCGACATGTCTGCACCTGGGTGCAGAGATTATAAAGTTTCTAAATTGCTTACCAGCTTCTAGTAACCTCAGTGACTATCAAGTGTATGATCGATCACTGCTCTATAGTATATTCAAGTCCGTTCAGCGATTAAATCGAAAAGTTGAAAATGTTAGTACCATTTGTCAATATGTCTAAGTTACATCGTAATCTATACATACAGATAAATATAATTGGAGTGCCTGTTTGTAATATTAAAATTACCGCTTTTTACTAAATACATATGGATGTATACATGGTACAGATACCAAAATGACATTCTTTACAATTTTTGTCTGTCTGTTTGTTCCGGCTAATCTCTGAAACGGCTGGAATAATTTGGACGAGACTTTCACTGGCAGATAGCTAATGTTATAAGTAGTAACTTAGGCTACTTTTATATAAGATTTTTTTTTATTTTAAATTCCACGCGGACGAATTACCGGGCACAGCTAGTATAATATAATATAGTGGTAGGGCCAAGCAACAGCTCGCTGCTGCACGAATAGGCAGGTCCGTCCCGTTAAGCACTGCGACCTCACAGAAGACCGGCGTGAGGTGGAAGTTTTAAACTTCTGCAGGAGGTGGAACTTTTAAACTTCTGCGTACTAATAACTTAGAACCATTTGAACCAATTGCTTCTATTGTCACGTCACACGAATTAAGTTTTGAACTACGAACGAGAAAGCGAGTCTACGCATCTTTTCACTCATCAGAAATGAACAGGGAATGGAAAGTGCTATCATTATCCTTACTAATATTATAAACGCGAAAGTTTGTATGGATGTGTGTTACTCTTTCACGCAAAAAGTAATGGATAGATATTGATGAAACTTTACAATAATATAGCTTATTCATCAGAATAAGACATAGGCTATAATTTACACATATTTTTATGTATATCTGTCTTTCTGGCTGAATGTTACGCCCTCAGCCGATTCTACGCAGAGGTAAGCTAGTGTCTCATAAAGGTACAAATCTGAGAAGGTAAATTTTGCGCTTAAGAAAAAACACGGGTACTATTTAGCATCCTTATTCTGTGATCCCAGCACTTCACCTCAGTCCTTGTGTCCACGACCCCAGCCGCCGGGCCGTTAACTCTGGACAATCTTCCAGATGTATAGCAGCTTCGAAGGTCTTCGAATCCTTTTTATTAGCTCGCTCTCTTGTCTGCCCATCTGTCAGGTATGCATTTCGAAACAAACCCCACCAGCTTCTCGAACAGCTGGAGATTTGATTCAATTGGATGACAACGCAGCACTACCTCGGTTTAGAGTTTGCTAACTAATGTCAAGTTTTGTTGTGCTCTCGACTAATAGTATTGGAGGACGACCTTACGTCTCCAGGTCGACGTAAGCAGCTATGGTGCAAGCGTCTCAATCGAAAACACACACCTCACGTCCACAAAACGGCGCATTTCACAAACAACGCTAGATATTGTTCTCGCGCCAGCACTCGACTGTTCCAAAGGTTCTGTTACGTGGAAACGATAGTGGCTATCAGATAACTCCGCTATCAGTACGACTCTTTGATAACACAAGTCGCTGGAATTCTTTCTCGCCGTCGCGTAGTGTTTAGTGCCGACCCTGTCGCCAGTGTCGCAATTAAGGCACGAGGGGTCGGCAGAGATGGAGACTGACAGGATCCTGACCGTTTTCTTCTGCTGAATGAATGGAAAAGATTGATTACATGCATGAGTGAACGAGGTAACAGAAGGGTGCATTGTGTGTTTTGAATGCAGCGATTACAGATCACGCATGTTTACCGCCTACTCATTTCTTATCTCTACAAATTTAAGTTTTTTTTGAAGTTATTACACTTCTTTGGGCGAATTACGAAAAAATGATGAGAGGGAAATGTTAATGAGCGCGCATTACTGTAACACAAAAGTCACACCTTTGAAGCTCTCTCAACCGCTTATTATAAATGCCAGCATATTCTCGCCCGTTACAGTTCTCAATAAAGAATGTAGATGGCGTTTTCATAATTTTATTCTTTCTATTATTTATATCCTTTTCCAGTCTTTTTATTATTTCATTGTAATTAATTATTTAATGATGCCAAAGAAGTATAACTTCTCACGCGCGTACATAAGTACGCACCCATTTTTTTTTAATATGAAAAGCTGTCATTCGGCTGTCACCACGGCTGCACCAGTCACCTGGTATTCAGTGATTACCGCGGCATCTACAACACTTGAGTTCTTGCAGATGCGTTGAGAACATTTAAAAATAGCGCTTCCCGGATACCTCACTCGTCGGACGCAACACTTTTATGATAAATATTTTGTTCAGTTTTGTACTTTTCTTTATGTAATTATTATTAACTCTGTGGTAGGGCCACGCAAAAGTTTTCTCTGTTGCTCAAATGGGCACGTCCGTCCGGGTAAGTACCACGACCTCACAGAAGACCGGCGTGAAGTAGAAGTGTTACACTTCTGCGTTTCGTCTGATGAGTAAGGTAGCCGCGGCACACTTTATTAAAAGGCCACGTTAATTCGTTGTTTTGGAAAATTTAATAACTCTGTAAATATTGATATTAAAAAAGTTATCCTCTATATGTGTGTTCATTTATTGTCGCGATTGTAAGGACACGCTGTATAGTAAATACACCACTTGTATATATATATATATATATATATATATATATATATATATATATATATACAAGTGTATATGTATATATATATATATGTATATATATTCGAAATCTCTGAAAGGGCCTAGTGATATTCATGAAATTTAGTATGTGCGTAGATTCGGGGGCGAAAAATCGATCTAGCTAGGTTTCGTTTTCAGAAAATGTCCTTTTATCCCTGTTTTCATTTATGAAAAATATCATTCGCCGCAAAAAAAAATTTTATAATAGCTCGGTCGGTAATCGGGCGGCCCCAAAACAGACGACCGCAGTTCGTATCACGATCATTTACACACTTTTTTTTTTTTGCTTTTTTTCTATACCAGATCATTTTCTTTATTATTTTTTTTTTATTTCCAAAATACATGATTTACCAAAAAAAACTGAGCAAAGCTCGGTACCTCTATTCTCCAGGTACTACAAAATTAAATACAAGTAGTATTTATGTATGTCCCTTACTACGTTCCCTTAACCGTGTGATGAACGGAATTGAATCAATGATATGTAGGTAGTTACGCCTTTATCGCGTACAGCCGGGCGCAGTCCGTCCTAAAATGGTAACCAGTTTCAGTTGAGCTCTCCGCCTGTTGCAGGAAGTGCCCCACGCGGCAGGTGTTCATACGCGGCGGGAGGTCGCACTGCATAGACGCCTGCAATACCGAGACCATGTGCGGCGAGGTCAGGGTCCCCGAGTACCATCTGAACGTGAGTGACGCTTTGCTTAAATCTTTACGCCCTATGTAAACTGGTTCTCCGGGAGGGGGCTGAGGTGGCCACCAGGGTCGCGGAAGTGTGCGAAAACGTTCCCGTGGCCCTGCCGATATGCGCCTAGGTGGAACATCGTGGGGATTTTAGTCGGTTTGAGTCCGACATAATCCGCTCTTGCCCCCGTAAGGTCCTATGTAAAGTGTTTAAAATTTCGCCCACGTCCAAAAAAAGGCCCTACGTAATGTGACCAATATGTTAATGACTCCGCTGCGCAGTCGCCGAGTTATTGGCTTCGGCGTAAGGGGTCGTGGGTTCGATTCCCACACGGGACAACTATTTGTGTGACCCGCGGATTACTGTTTCGGATCTGGGCGTTTGTGCACGTGGAATTTATGTATGTGAAACGTCCATACTACACAGGATAACGTTATTCTAGTGTAAAATCAAGTTCAAAATATCTTAAGTCTAATATTGTACAACTAAAAGGAAATAAACTTTATTTTTATTCGTATAGACGCTTGCGCGTTCTTATGGAACGTCAAAATTTTATATAAAGATTAATACGTTCGTAAGTTACCCCCCGGTTCGGAAAGCAGTTTCTGTTGAGGAGGAACCGGCAAGAAATTCAACAGTTGCTTTTTTTTAAAACGATTAGTTTACAATGCAAGCTCAGGTAAGTCTTACTTTAGCCTACGTGAGTATCAACAGTATTAATCCCACACATTGCCGTCGTCAAGATATTCCGAAATGGTATAATACGTATGCCTTAACCATAAGTTTCAATGTAAGTTAACTGTAAGGATGCCTCATTTGCCGAAAACATTGACATGTTTTCGAACGGAAGACCACAATAGATCTTTCTAGATCGCTATGATCGTTGGGAATTATGACATATATGATTACTCGATGGCGCCGTTGCTCAGCTATTGGCTTCGGCGTCGAGGGTCGTGGGTTCGATTCCCACACGGGACAAGTATTTGTGTGACCCACGAATAACTGTTCCGGATCTGGGTGCTTGCTTCCCAAAGAGTTTGGACGTCGGGCACGCCGCCGGTTGTGAAATACATGGCCGAAACCGCTTACAACATGATTCACATGTTGTTAGCGGGCATTCACATAAGGGCAGGAAGATGACGATGATTATGGTCGTTGTGACTTACTACGCGACCCATTCCACACAAAATGCAAAATCCAAAAAATGCCCAAACTCACATTTGGCATGTTATGACCTTCATTAATTTTCTACGGTGGTAGAGCCACGCAGCAGCCTCAGCTGTTGCACGAATGGGCAGGCTTGTCCGGGTAAGTACCACACCTCACAGAAGACTAGCGTAAAGTGGAAGTATGACAAATAGTTTCGCGTTTCGTCTGGTGAGTGAGGTAGCCGGAACCCAATTTCCAAAAGGTTGTCAACGCATCTGCAGACCCTCGGGTGTAGCAGATGTTATCGGCGGCGGTATTCAATCAACATCAGGGGAACCGTCTGCTCGTTTGGCAACTTTTCACATAAAAAAAAAATCTTCCAAAATAGTGTTGTCTTCATCAAGTCTTATCGGTGTCTTCATCAAGTCTTATCGGTGGTCTCTCTCGTTTCGATTGCGTGTATCTTTATGTCTTTGATCACCGTTGCTCAAAGTAAATGTCTATAATTGCCTTGGTTTTTCTTCGATTCCTCGCGAAACGCATATCTTGTATGCATGCAAATGGACTTTATCTCTACATACAGAGTGGCTTTCCTAAAGGTGCCCGAATTCATACAGGAGGTTCAGAGTCGGTAGCATAATCGTTTTCAAGGGTCAAAAAACTTTTTTTGACCCTTGAAAAGCGCCATTACGCTAATTATAGATGTCGCTGTCGGAGGCCTCAAAAAACCAATTTGCTTTAACTTATTTATTAGAGCTTATAATTTAAACATAAAAGATAAGACCCGTGATAGCTCAGTGTCCGGGCGCTCGCCTTTAATTCAATATATTCGAGCAACCTGAGTTCGATCCCCGTTGCCGGCACCAATGAAGTTTTTTACTTTAAGTGCTGACTTATCACGTGCTCCGCGGTGAAGGAAAACATCGTGAGGAAACCTGCATATTTTCGAAATAAAAACAAAAAAATATGTATATTTCGAAGATATATGAAGTCCGCCAATCCGCAGTGGGGCCGCGTGGTGGACTATGCCCTGATACCCTCTGTATAGACGAGGCCTTTGTCCAGCAGTGGGACATGTATAGGCTGTTACTTTACTTTACTTTTTTTATAATTTAAACTATAACTAGCCTAACCTAAGTCTGATTCCGATCAGATATCAGATCTAGATAAAGAATGACTGTCTTACTAAAATAAATCGTTAACCAAAGTTCTTGAATACGGTAAGCAGCGGTGTCGACTGGCGACGTTTCCATGGCCGTGAGCGCGGCCTGGATGTGAAATCCGTTTACATGGTTTCAGCAAAACTTGCTCGTGGGATTGTGTCGCGATGTTGCGAAGACGCTGCTTAGTTGCACTTTTCCATGGGAACGATATGTAGCACGCTCTTTAACCAATTTAATCTTGGCGACCAATAACAACTTGTTGACATTTACCAATAATTCCGACTTATTTAAATAATCATCAATTGCATTTTACTTATTTACGCTAAACTTCTTACTTGCGTACATTAGTACAGACATACCTTTTTTTTAGTTAACTGGTAACGTATTAATTTCTACTGAAAATTTCGAAGACGTTTTGAATTGGAATTTGAAGTTTTATTTCAACCGCGTGAAAAGATTAAACAAACGCACTCATTTTTTGAGATCCCGTTCCCATAGGATGAAACGGGACCATATTACTAAGACTCCGCTGTCTGTTTGTCTGTCTGCCCCTCTGTCATCAGGCTGTATCTCATGTGGCTGTAACTATGATAATCAGACGGTTGAAATTTTTACAGATGATGACGTATTTCTGTTGCCGCTATAAAAACAAATACAAAAAAAAAACGAAATAAAAAAAATTAAGTCGGGCTTCCCATAAGACAGACTTGATTTTTTTTGCCATTTTAATAGATAATGGTACGGAACCCTTAAAACGCGGGACCGACTCGCACTTAACCGGTTTTTTTAGTTCACTCTTTAATAAATACGCTCCCAGGCGTATTTATAGAGCTGTGTCAAGCTCAGGGCGCGTCCGCACTTTTGCTAGATTTCCACGGAGACTGATTATAGTTACAAATTGACAACGTTCTTCGTGATAGTGCTGTCTGCGGCGGCGTTTCTATTCTGCTCGAGCCGAATTATTTAGTCACATAATTACACACTACATCGTAGTGTAAGAGAATTCAGACGGGATATGCTCTAAAGAAAACTTAGAGTTCTCGAGCGATGAAAAACAATAGGTCACTTAAACGTTATCCAAAGGGGACTTTACGCTGCTAGGAGTTTGTTTTGCTTAAGTAAAAAAAGAAAAAATAATGTGAGAGGGTGGCAAGGGAGCTGGTGGTTCACCTGAGGTTAAGTGATAACTGCCGGCCCTTGACATTCGCAACACCCGTTTGCAACCTTTTAATGAAGTGGCCCCGGCCATCTCATTCACCGGACGAAACGCAGAAGTATAACACTTCGACTACACGCTGGTCTTCTGGGAGGTCGTGGTACTTAACCGGACCTGCCCATTGGCCCTGCGACTGTGGCGTGGGGCTAAGATATTTGTTGATCCCTAATCCAGTTTTAAGCGCATAGATATAATGGATGATGATGATAATCATCACCACGTCCATAAAACTACTCTAATAGAACGTTATTGTATGTAAATTAAAAGTAAAGTAACAGCCTAAATAAGTCCCACTGTTGGGCAAAGACGTCCCCTGTACATCAGGTATCAGGGCATGGTCCACCACGCGACCCCACTGTAGATTGGACGACTTTATGACGAAATATATATTTTTTGTTATTATTTCGGAAATATGCAGGTTTCTTCACGATGTTTTCCTTCACCTCTGAGCACGTTAGAGCCATCATAGCTCAGTGTCTGGGCGCTCGGGTGTCGGGCTTTAATTCAATATACTCGAGCAATCTGAGTTCGATCCCCGGTGTCGGCGCCAATGAAATTGTTAATTTTAAGCGCCGAATTATCAAAACTTGTACAATAAAACGTTATTGTGTGATCGCCATTTATTATTTGCCTTATCCCTATTTTCTTTTCCTGTCATCAGCGTCCTCTTGTTCTTGCTCTAATTCATTGTAAACCTTATCTTGGTCGTACCAATAATCTGTCCCATTGTTGTCGCCTGCGTCGGTTGTTCTATTAGTACTTTCTTCCTTATCTATTCTATAGTCTTTGTCTATTTCGCTATCTAATACATTGGTATCTTCTGTACGTTTCGGAGTTGTGTTTTTGGTCTCGTCGATTGTCTCCGAGGCTTCATGTCGACCAGATCGCGGTTCTAAATGCCTCCTAAAGTCCGAACCGAAGCCACCGTCACTGTCGTACTGTTTGAAATATTTGCGATTTTCATCGTTCAACGATCTCTCCTCTGACGTATCAGCTAGTTTCACCGAAGCCTGGAAAATTTCTAACGGCCCACTGGTTGCCAAAACATTGTTCTTGGTGTAAATAGATCCCTTTGTTGGGTCATCCTTACCTATCACATCCTTATTTGTGTGGGCTCTATCGTAGTAATCTGCAAACCTGGTCGAAGCCAGTATCTTCACACTAGGATTCGATTCCTCCGTTTCCGATGAGGTTTCGAGTGATACACTTTCGGATTTGTCGCTTTCATCTTTCGTTGTTAGCTTTTCAAAGGCCTTTTCTTTCCTTGCTTTAGCTGGTTTGACAGTTTTTTTGGGTTTTTTGGTGCTCAATCTACTTGGTGTTTTGGTATTTTCAGGTGTATTGGACGCAGGTGTATTCACTAGATGTGCATGCCCAGGGCTCGATGCCAACAGGAAGTCGAAGTTCGCCGCCTTTTTCCACTCGAATCGTGGCTCCTTGACGTTGTCCTGTTTAAGAGCGAAGTCTAGTACGTAATTCTTCTTCCTCTCCGCGATCGAGGATGTTCCAGAGATTCCCTCACTCGCTGTCCCCTTATCATCAGAGAGTCCATTGTTATCGTACTCTTTCTCGTCATTTTCTTCATCGACTCCCGAAGCTTCTCTCTTTGCGTCCCTGTTCCATTCTCTGTCCAACATTTTATCCAACTGAGCATTTTGAATGTTCTCCCGAGATATCTCTGGCGATTTGATTACGTTCGCCTTCGCTAAAAAGTTGACGATCTCTTCGGCGACAGGCGCTGAAACGAGCTCCCTCGCCAGCTTCCTCACGTCGTCAATGTTCGCAGTCAGAAGCACCAGGGAATACGATATTTGCGATGTTATCAGCAGGTGAATACCTGGAACGGATATATGCACTTTTACAAGAAGATCGTGGCTGATTTGCTTACTAGATAGCCTAAGTAGGTTCAATAGCTGTTCACCCCGTGGTCATACTAGATAGCCTAAGTAGGTGTCTCCACCCCGTGGTCATTTGGTCATCTATGGATCGTCTTTCGTTACACGATTTATTTTACATTTTATTTTATTAGGTAAACCAACCACATTATATATAATTTAGGTGTTCATGGCTTACTATCACTAAGTTTAATTAAACCGATCTATTTGCAGGTGTTCTAAATTATCGATAAATCAATCTTTACGTAGTATCAAATAACACAGAGAAAGGACCGTAAATATACGTTTATATTTTAGGCGATTTACTATTGCGGTCTTGAGCCACGTTTTTCAGTTTTTATTACAAAAGAAAACCAAATCATCAATTTTGTTCGGCATTTCAAGTTTGATACTATAAGTTATTTACATAAGACTTTTTTAAATACGAACTTGGTAGTTATTCTATCCTATTTAATGGGAGGCAGTATTAATTTTGTCAGTAAAATACTATACACAATTTCCTTTGCTCTTATCTTAACGAAGATATCATAGATTCACAATTAGATTTAGTTATATCTGGTTGTGATTTGTGTGTACTCTTAGGATACGTTATATGCCAAATTTGCGTGCACTGTAGGATGCGTAATCACTTCTGCTGTTGCATAAGTGGGCAGGCTCGTTAGGGGAAGTACCACGGTCTCACGGAATTCGGACGAAAAGTCGAAGTACACTTTACGATTGGCGAGTAAAGTACATAAAGCAGAGCCATGCTACAGTCTTCGTTGTTGCACGGATGGGCAGCTCCATCCGGAGAAGTGCTGCGACCTCACAGAAGACCGGCGTGGAGTGGAAGTATGACAAATACTCGCGTTTCGTCTGGTGAGCGAGGTAGCCGGAGCCCAATTTTCAAAAGGTTGTCAACGCATCTGTAACCCTCGGGTGTAGCGGATATCCATGGGCGGCGGTATTCACTTACCATCAGGTGAACCGTCTGCTCGTTTGGCAACTTTTCACATAAAAAAAAGAAGGGTAAGTGTTATGCTTCTGCGTTTCGTCTGGTGAGTGAGGTAGTCGGGGCCCGCTTCATAAAAAGGCGGCAAAGCGTCTGCAAAACTACGGATGTTGCATGTCCGGCGGTCATCACTTAACATCAGGTGAACCGCCAGCTCGCTTGCCACCTTCTCGCATTAAACATCTGCACCGCCACGGATCAAAAATCCAAATCCAAAATTTATAGATGGCCTTAAGAAAAATACGTATCATCGATAGTCATTTTTTTTATTCTACCACCGTTTTAATGAGGTTTCTCTAACGGAGGAGAATACGGCGAAAGAAACTCCGTAGGCATCCCCTTTTTTGTCAATTTTTTTTGTTGGGTGTCGTAGACGCCCCAATTAAAGCTGCCTTCTAGTAGCCTTGCTCCTCTAATTAAGAAGACCGTTGGCTGTCGTTCTTGATGCACCGCAGTAAAACAAAGGTAATGTGACACCAAGACGGTTGCAAGTCTAAAATAGAAGTGCGAATATGTCGTAATCGTTGACCTTCTTAACAGGCACGCTAGTTTGCATGGCACGGGATCGGTTTTCATCTGCGATGTGATACTCATTAGGGCGGGGACAGACCAATGCGTAACGAACACGTGGATATTTAACGCTTTTATTAACAGTTACGTATGACAATAGACAATTTTTATTTACCTACAATGCAACTATTAGGAAGTCTAAATAGATTAGTAGCTACATTAAGTAATTAGTCCTGAAGTAGCTTAGTATTATTTATTCAAAGGCAAAGTATGCGCGCGCACACCGACCCCCTAAAAGCGACACGATAAGGTTGGTTACAACTTCACGATATTACCACGGCAACCAATAACAATTTCGTTACATTTACCCAAAATTCCAAAAAATAACCGTTATTAATTACAGTACCCGGAGGACCGAGCTTTGCTCGGTTTGTTTTTTTTTTTGGTAAATCGTGAATTTTGGAAATTACATTTAGGCACAAATTACTGAGTAATGAAATATGCATAATATTTTTTGATCTTACCGACGTAATAATAAGAAAATATGAACTGATGTTTTTCACAAAAGAAAGAACTTTAAAAAAAAGGGAAAGAAATAACAAAATAACAAATCGACAAAAAATTAAAAATAAAGAAAGCAATGATCTGGAATCGAAAAAAAAAGTAAAAAAATAAATGTGTAAATGATCCTGTCGCGAACCACGGCCATCTTTCCATCGTTTTGGGGCCGCCCGATTACCGACCGAGCTATTATGACATTTTCTCTTGCGGCGAAATTTACTGTCATATTCGAATTATATTTTTCATTCCCTGAAAACAGGGATAAAAAGACATTTTCTAAAAATGAAACCTAGCTAGATCGATTTTTCGCCCCCGAATCTACGCACATACTAAATTTCATGAAAATCGCTGGAGCCGTTTCCGAGATTCCGATTATATATATATATATATATATATATATATATATATATACACATACAAGAATTGCTCGTTTAAAGGATAAGATTTATTTGATCTCTTTTTCGTTAAATTTGATGACACTGTCACTCGTTTCGATGTAGTGTGTAGCGTGCTTTAGTTTATAGCGAAATCTGAGCGTATTGGACCGCAGTCCTAATTAAGCCCATTTACACGATGCCATTTTCTTGTACATACAAGAGCAATAATTGAATGCAATAAATTGCGCGCAATAATTGTTAAGACCATTTGTTGTTTAGACCATGCAACTCATTTATTGCTTCAATTTAATTGTATACAACAGGCAAGAAACTGGCACCGTGTAAATGGGCCTTAATGGTCATTTGTATGGCTCATTCGCGTCGTCCGAGTCCAACGGAACTCGCAATGGACCATTTGGCCCAGTGGGGCGCGGGTCAGCTCACGAGTCGACAGTTCAAGGTTCTAGGGCTGTCATGCATCAGCCATGTAGACCTGGCTCGCAGAACAGGTTTGAGGGACCTAGCTTCTCTTGTTAGGTTTCTGTTGCAGGGTGGTGGCTTTTACTGTGGTAGGGATACTCAACAGTTTTCTTCGTCGCACGAATGGGCAGGTCCGTCCGGGGAAGTACAACGACCTCACAGAAGACCGGCGTAAATTGGAAGTGTTATACTTATGCCTCTCGTCTGCTGAATGAGGTAGCGGGGACTCACTTTGTTAGAAGGTGGTAAATGCCACTGGGCGGCGGTTATCACAAAACATAATGAAATAATAAAAGTGGCTCGTATTAAAAAAGGGTCGACTACCCCTGACTCTACGAGTAATATACATAACTTGTATAGTCTTGTTGTTACAGCTTCCAGGAAGTATATTTTCCATTCGACTCACCGGTCAGACACGGTCGACGGGGCCGCCCCATCATTGCCACATGTCTAAATATTTCACGTAACAAGTTCACATATAGCTTTTGCCGCCATTTTATCGTTTTCGTCCAATATATCGGTTACAACGAATCCATTTCGCAAACGATTTCATTGATTTCCTTAGCGCTTTTACGATCAGGTCATAAAATTCCCTACAACAGTATAAGAGCTCGGTGTTAGTGGTACTAAACAAAACATTGGCTATTGCACTGATATCAGATGAACGTTTTTTAATTTAATGCAGTGATTTAAAATCAAATTTCGGTTTCTAAAAACTTGGGTACTACCCAAAAGATTAAGTCAACGGTTAAAGAAAACCTTGTGCATGGGGATAATTAAGATAAAAGATAAAAAATCGGCCAAGTGCGGGTCGGACTGGCGCACGAAGGGTACCATTAATTATAAAAACGGCAAAGAAAATCATGTCTGTTGTATGGGAGCCCCACTTTTTTATTCTGTTTTTTAGTATTATGTTAGTATAGCGGCAGTAGAAATACATTATCTGTGAAATTTCAACTGTCTAACTATCACGATTAATGAGATACAGCCTGGTCATAGACGGACAGGCAGACAGCGGAGTCTTAATAAAAGGGTCCCGTTTTACCTTTTGGGCACGGAACCCTAAAATAGTATGTGCACTCGTAAGAACTTATATTTCTTTAGTTCCTCTTATCTTATCCTTTAAATGAGCTATATATATATATATATATAATCGGAATCTCGGAAACGGCTCCAGCGATTTTCATGAAATTTAGTATGTGCATAGATTCGGGGGCGAAAAATCGATCTAGCTAGGTTTCATTTTTAGAAAATGTCTTTTTATCTCTGTTTTCAGGGAAAGAAAAATATAATTCGAATATGACGGTAAATTTCGCCGCAAAAAAAAAATGTTAGCTCGGTCGTTAATAGGGCGGCCCCAAAACAGACGGCCGCGGTTCGTATCACGATCATTTACACACTTATTTTTTTTACTTTTATTTCTATACCAGATCATTTTCTTTATTTTTTTTTTATTTACAAAATACATTATTTACAAAAGAAACCGAGCAAAACTCGGTCCTCCAGGTACTGTTATCCTAAAGTAAGGGCAATGTTTTTAAAATTAAAAAATAAATAAATCTCATGAGCTCCGATCTAGCGTCAGTTATCGACTCCAAAAATAAGTGAAACCATTTTTTGTATCTAATTTATCGTATATCATACATATACAAATATTAAATAGTGTCTAGTGCACCGAAAGTGAGACACACAAATTAGGAATGCAATTTCATAGACTGCTATCTTTTTCCGTATCATACGTTCTATATCATCTGTCACATTCATTCATATACGTTTTATAACGTAGAACGGAACAATTTTTAAACGCCACGCAGTATGGACATGCGTCATCTCTATTAAAGCATGGACAACGGTTTTATATTATTTATTTATTTTATTTAATTTTTGGACTTAATGCTGACAGCATTTTCTACCAGTCAACCGTAGTGTGGTACTGAGAAGTTGAGGTAGGTGCACAAACACAGTTATAAACTAAAAAAAAATACATAATTATTAAATATAAAAATATAACACATAGTATAATTCTAGCATACAATACTTTTAAACGATACAATAAGTATTATTTTACATATACATATATACTTAATATACATATATAAATAAACATATATATTATATACATATACATACACATTTATATCTGATGATGTCATGAAACTGCTGGCAATGTACCCTGAATGTACTTTGCGTCTTATCCAGTCACAAATTCAATTTTCGTAAAACTTTATGTATATTTTTTCTTCTGAATTACACGGGAATGAATGTTGCCTGAATACTTTGGGACCGCATAACTTTGTTTCGTTCTTGATCTTTATTTATATTTTCCTTCAAATTGCCACGACCATCTCCAGCCGTGCTACGTCTGCAACAGCACCGGCCACAACTGCCGCGCCCTGCCACAGCGGCGAGCTAGTCTCGACGAGGAGGCGATCCCCACCACGGAGATGAGTGGCAACGCTCTCAACAATGGCACCGAGCCCACAGGTGACTGACAATCTTCGATTCCATTTATCAAAAGTAAATTTTTTTTCATGCAACAACGTAGACTGTTGCGCGGCTCTACCACGTAAGAGTGAGGTAGCCGGGAGGTGGTAACGCATCTGCAATCCTACGGGTGTTGCAAAAAGGTTTGCCGACTGTTTTTGACAAAAATGAAGTATCACAGTTTTCATGTAGAGAAAAAAAGTGTTTACAAAATTTATCTCTTTTTCTGTGGAAATTTCAACCGTCTAACTATCATGGTTCACGAGATACAGCCTCGTGACAAACGTACAGACAGACAGGCACACATCGAAGTCTTAGTAATGGGGTCCCGTTTTACCCTTTGGGCACGGAACCCTAAAAAAGTGCTTCGAGTCCGATTTTGAAACGGTGCAGCCGTCGAGGTAGCCGCTCGCATACCAACCGCCTTCGTTTTCAACCGCCTTCAAAAAAGGAGGATGTTCTCAATACGACTGTATTTTTTTATGTTTGTTACCTCAGAACTTTCGACTGAATGGTCTGATTTTGATGATTATTTTTTTATTTGAGAGCTGGTGCTCCCCACGTGGTCCCGTGTTAATTTCATTGGTATTGGATCTCGGGCCCCGGAGATACTTAGGGAACTCCTGGAAATCCATACTAATATTATAAATGCGAAAGTAACTCTGTCTGACTGTCTCGCTTTCACTCCAAAACTACTGAAAATATTTCAATGAAATTTGGTACACAGATGGTCTAGAGCCCGAGAAAGGACATAGGCTATTTTTAAATTGGAACAAAGTTTCGTAAAGGGTTGAACGATATTTATTTAAGCGAGCGAAGCCGCGGGCGAAAAGCTAGTCAGTTATAAAATGAAGACAGAGCGATATGTTTTAAGTTTAAGGTTTTGTTTCTCGTTAATAAAATTGCACTTGCAGAAACGTACGAAGAGTACCAGCCGATGGGAGTCGAGGACACTGACTTTGTGCTGTATGTCAGCGCCTTGGAGACGGAGAGGTGCAGGCGGGGCCTCATGGTGGCGTACGCGTCTCATTGCCAGCAGGAGTCGGCCCTGGACAGGTAGGTTTGTAAAAGAACCCGCCGTGGGTTCGATTCCCGCGCGGGACAACTGTTTGTGTGACCTACAGATAGTTGTGTCGCTGACGTGCAGTTTTGTTGGTAAAAGAACACGCCGTAGCGCTGCTGCCGAGGTGGCGGGTTCGGCGTCGGGGTCGTGGGTTCGATTCCCACACGGGACAACTGTTTGTGTGACCCACAGATAGTTGTTTCGCGTCTGGGTGTTTGTCCGAGTGAAATTTACGTTTGTAAAACGTCCTTACAACGCAGGATGTTATCCTAAAGTAAGGGCATTGTTTTTTTTTTTTAAAAGAAAGTTTACTCGCGTCGACGTGGACTTGTGTGATCACAATGATCTTCTTAACTATCGGAATGATCAATTCCAAGAGCTTAACCATCATTTTGGCAGCTCTAATGACATTCTAAATGCCAGTTGACAGCTGATTAGTTAACATCTACGATGATCAGTGTTTCAGAAATCGATCGTTAATTAAAAAAACATAGCCATCACGTGTAAGTGTGACGGAATAAAGCGTCTTTAATTGCCTTAACGGCCAGTTTTAATATTCTATAGATTATATATATATTCTATAGATATACATACAGGATGGCTTTCCTAAGTGTATCCATTTTTTTATTAAATTCTAGACATAAATAATGTTATATAAAAAATATTTAAAATCACTCGTAAGTAATTAATTACATTCATTTGAACTTATCTCAAAAAGTGCGTGCGTTTAAACGCAAGTTCTGTTTCTTAGGGAATAGAATGGCATTTTTTTTGAAAAAAAACTTTGTTTTTTATTTCAATAAATGTTTATACTACCGAATCTGAACCTCCTGTGTAAATTTGGGCACTTCTCAAAAAATCTCCCTGTATAGATTTGTTTACTGGAAATAGAATTTCGACGTGAGTATTATGGAGCTAATGTCAAACACAAATCGCTAGTGACCAAATCTATATCTAATCTGTGGATAGAAACGAATCTATCTGTGGATAGAATATTGAAATCGGCCGTTAGTTACATATGCAATCAATTTATTGAAACCGACCGTAAGGTACATATGCAATTAATTTATTGAAACCGGCCGTAAGGTACATATGCAATCAATTTATTGAAACCGGCCGTAAGTAACATATGCAATCAATTTATTGAAACCCGCTGTAAGTTAATTATGCAATCAATTTATTGAAACCGGCTGTAAGGTACATATGCAATCAATTTATTGAAACCGACCGTAATGTACATATGCAATCAATTTATCGAAACCGGCCGTAAGGTACATATGCAATCAATTTTTGAAACCGGCCGTAAGGTACATATGCAATAAATTTATTGAAAACGGCTGTAAGTTAATTATGCAATCAATTTATTGAAACCGACTGTAAGATACATATGCAATCAATTTATTGAAACCGGCTGTAAGATACATATGCAATCAATTTATTGAAACCGGCTGTAAGGTACATACGCAATCAATTTATAGAAACCGGCCGTAAGGTACATATGCAATAAATTTATTGAAACCGGCTGTAAGATACATATGCAATCAATTTATTGAAACCGACTGTAAGGTACATATGCAATCATTTTATTGAAACCGGCTGTAAGGTACATATGCAATCAATTTATTGAAACCGGCCGTAAGGTACATATGCAATCAATCCACAGGCCCGTGGCGGGCCATGCGAACTTCTGTCCCGGTGAACTGTCGACGAACTACAGGGATCTCCCGTCGGTGCTCTCTGTGGTCAAGCACGAGATGCTGCACGCTCTCGGCTTCACTGTGTCTCTCTTCGGTTTCTATCGGTGAGTCTAACGCAACTGGGTCCTTATGGCCTTATCCTTAGGGCCACGCAGCAGCCTCGGCTGTCGCACGAATGGGCAGCCCCGTCCGGGTAAGTACCACGACCTCACAGAAGATCGGCGTCAAGTGGAAGTATAATACTTTCGCGTTCCGTCTGCTGAGACCTCACTTATCTTCAACATATATATATATTTTTTTGTTATTATTTCGAAAATATGCCAGGTTTCCTCACGATGTTTTCCTTCGACGCGGAGCACGTGATAAGTCAGCACTTAAAGTTAGAAACTTCATTGGTGCCGGCACCGGGGTTCGAACTCAGGTTGCTCGTGTATATTCAATTAAAGGCGAGCGCCTGGACACTGAGCTATCGCTGTTCAAAAAAAAAAGAAAAAAAATTATAAATATAAATACACTTTATATAGATGAGTAAATAAATACAAAGGATTTAATTACCGTCCTTCCAGCGACGACAATGGGGAACCGCTGACTGAGAGGAGACCTGACACAGGAGACCCACCTTTGGACGAGGAGTAAGTTCGTGACGGTTTCAATAGACCTTACACTGTGGCAGGACCACGCGACAGTGTTCGCTGTTGCACGAATGGGCAGGTCCGTCCGGGTTACTACCACGACCTCGCAGAAAACCGGCGTGTACGATATTCTACTGGGTTTAGGCGACTTACCGCAGCAGTCCTCCTGCAACCTCGCGTCTTGGAGTTGGCTAAAGAGAGCCCGGGCAAGTCGGCACAGCGCAGAAATTAAAGTCCCGCAGAATATATCGCACAAGGGTCCATAGGTCACTGAGCACAGCACTTCCAGGGCGCAAGAGATCTCGAGAAGAATATATTGTAATAGCACGCAAAAAACTTCGGTGCGTACGCGGCGATGACAGCAATTCGAATCTTTCACTGACTCGACTGCCGCTAGTTTGTGTGGCGCTAGTAGTAGCCGTAACTCACACGTTAAGGATTGAATTCACACATAACGGCTGATCGCCAACCCAGTGAAGGAAAAATAATAAGAAGTAAATAGCATTTAGATACTCCAAATTGTGTCATCTTATTAAGTTAACTTGTCTTGTTTAGAATGAATATAAAATTATATGAATTAAACTACTCTTGTTCCAGTACGGAACACGGCGTAAAGTAGAAGTGTTACACTTCTGCGTTCCGTCTGGTGAGTGAGGTAGCCGGCGCCCACTTTATTAAGGGGTGGTAGCGCATCTGCAACCCTACGGGTATTGCAGATGTCCATCGGCGGCGGTTGTCACTTAACATCAGGTGAACCGCCAAATAGTTTCCCACTTTGTCACATAAAAAAAATTACGGATTGCACTCCGGGAGTGCCGACAGAAGTGAAAACTTATTTTGGCGCGTTAGACATTTTTTACATAAATAGAATGATATAAATAAACAATTTTGATTCGAAGTTATTTAAACATCTCGTGAATACCGCATCAATTGCACTTTTATATCTCGTGCTACTATTGCGTTGATCGGACACGGTGAAATCAAATTCTCCATTCAAAAAATTCGGTAAAATCAAATTCTCCATTCAAAAAATTCGGTAAAATCAAAATCTCCATTAAAAAATTCGGTAAAATCAAATTTTCCATTCAAAAAATTTGGTAAAATCAAAATCTCCATTAAAAAAATTCTGTAATATCAAATTGTCCATTCAAAAAATTCGGTAATATCAAATTCATGTGACGGTTGGTGAGAGATTTCATCTCGTCTAAATATATGCGTACCGCGCTAAAAGGAGTTTTCACTTCAAAAATGCGCCGAGAAGACGCATCGCTGACGCGGACCGCTTCCAGGCTCCAGATCCACAAGTGGTCTTCGCGCGTGGTCCGCAACGTGACCAGGAGGAACTGGATGGTGAGGGGCGGCTACGTGGAGCGCACCTTCAACATGGTCGTCACGCCCAGGGTCGTGAAAGAGGTCTGTGCTGTCCGCCATTGCTGTATTTTCAAGATTCACGCCCGTCTTCTGAAACACCGATCATCGTGGATGTTATATATCGTTTTATGTGTTATTAATTGTTATACAGCGTGTCTTTACAATCGCGGCAATAAATGAACACACAAAGAGGATAACTTTTTAAAATTGTATTTAGCAATTAGCATTAACATTCTTTAAACATCAATATTTACAGATTTATTAAATTTTCCAAAACACACAATTTTAGAACCCCCTTACGCATAAAACTGTAACGTAAAGTTTATTTGTAAAGGTCACAAGGTATATGAGTGGGTTGAATGAATTTAAAAGAGACAAAACATACTGTTAGAATGAGAGGCTTGTAATACGACGCTGTGGAGCGAGTTGTATAGGAATGTTACAAATTTTGTTTTTTTTTTACTCGATTAGTTTGTTTGAAGAATATTTTTTTTTAATTATAGATTTTGTTTTTATTTTTTATGATTATTGGCAAGTAGCGTTCGACGTGTGTTCATTTATTGTCGCGGTGGTAACGACACGCTGTATATTTTCATCAGAATGATCGTTTCTGATGTTTTGTATACTTGTTGCAACGTTCCTTTTTGTCTTTGAAAGCAGTTTATCCGATGAAATTATGGTGCTAGGGACGTCCTGGAATTCCTTGTGAATCTTGTTATTATTACTATTACTGTGACTATGACCAATTGTGTGTTTTTTTTATTTACACATAAATACATAAATAACATATCGGTCAATGTTCAAAAATTATTTAAGCATTTTTGACATATTCGTGACTAATCGAAATAATTTTTAGATTCGATCTCTGGGATCAATTTGGGCCGCCAAAATTTTTCCGATGACCTTAGAGTTTTAAAATCTCAGCGTTCAGTGTCAAAGTATTGACCGATTACTAAAAATCACTGACCATTTATGAAGAAGGTGGTCAGAATTGGTCGCGAAATGACCATCTATAGAGTTCAAATTTTATCATTTGGGCCGCTAACTAGATGGGGGCATTTGATCGAACGCTCTCGAATATAACTTTCAAATTGTCTCGTGCTTTCAGGTTCGTGAACACTTCAACTGTTCCAAGCTCGAGGGTGCCGAGTTGGAAGACCAGGGCGGAGATGGCACGGCCCTCACCCATTGGGAGAAGAGGGTCTTCGAGGTGAGTGCCTTTGCTTCTTAGACTTTGGTCTATTATCTGTTTTCTCTTTCTTACCCTCGTTACAATTTCCGAGTAGTAAGTAGAACAAAGGTAACGGACGTAGCTCATAGGATTACTAAGCTGTAGTGGTTATAGGCTGGCTATAAAGTTCGATGAACCGATAACCGTTGGGCAAGATGGTTCTCGAGTGGCAGCATCGTACTGGCCATCGCAGTGTAGGACGACCGCCACTAGATGGAGTGACGACCTGTGCAAATGTGCGGGAAGTCGATGGATGCAGGTGGCTCAGGTCGTGCTTCGTGGCAGTCTGTGGGGGAGGCCTATGTTCAGCAGTGGACTCAAACAGGCTGAAAGGATAATGCCGTTGGGATGAAACGTCTGGAGAGGGGGACCCTTAACTCAAAGACAACATCGCCGTCCTATCGCCGTCGCCTATCGCCGCCTATCGCCGTCCACCGCTGATCGTAAGCCTCCCCCAAACTGCGCCAACTATCTCGGTCACGAGCAGCCCGCATCCATCCAACTCAGTCATAAGTAATTCTACTCATACTGTCTTCTGTGACGGAATCACAACACTGTTAACAACTGTTCAAAAAAACAAATACACCTAAATCAATTCAAAGACCCACTAAAATTTACTAAATTCAAACCAAACTCTCCAAAATGAGAAACATATACGAAGTTTTGGATTGAATTTAATTTTTTTTATTTCAATTTCCAAAACACCTACCTCCATTGTATATATTTTTTTCCTAAAATAGTAAGAAAATTCCAAAGTTCGCAATTCCAAAGCTTCAGCCTGTCACTCTTCGGTTTCTACCGGTGAGTCAAACGCAACTGGATCCTAATCTGTGGTAGGGCCACGCAACAGCCTCGGCCGATGCACGAAAAGGGTCGTCCGGTTAAGGTACCACGACCTTACAGAAGACCGGAGTCAAGTGGAAGTATAACACTTTCGCGTTTTGTCTGGTGTGTAAGGTTTCCGGAGCCCAATTTTCAAAAGGTCGTCAACGCATCTGGAACCCTCGGGTGTAGCAGATGTCCATGCGCGGCGGTATTCACTTACCATCAGGGTGAACCGTCTTCACGTTTGGCAGCTTTTCACGTAAAAAAATATCGATATATCGATATACCTCTCCGCATCGCCACCCCATCCCTAATCAGGGCGTTGCGCCCGCCTCCCAGAACGAGGCGATGACCGGCACCCACACGCAGAACTCCGTGTTCAGCCGCGTCACGTTCGCCATGCTCGAGGACACCGGCTGGTACCGCGCCGACTACAGTTACGCGGCGCCCCTCGACTGGGGCAGGAACCTCGGCTGCGGCTTCGCCATGGCCTCCTGCAAGCAGTGGCTGAACGCGCAAAGGTTGAGGTATTCCGTTGCTCTCAGCGCTGGGGACGCTTGGGGTGTTAATGAGGGGGGGGGGGCCTCTTGCGCCAGAGGGTATGGATTATGTTGGGTTAGGTTTTTAATGTATAATATGTATTTATTTTATGAGTATGGTATGTACTAGCCCCGCCCCGGCTTCGCACGGGTGCAATGTGTCACCGCTGTCTGTCTGTCCCTATGTATGGACATACATCGGGACATCTAATAGCGGGACGACTTTGATTTATACTATGTAGTGACAAGTATAAGTATGTTTATCAGTTATCTAGTACCCATAGTATAAGCTTTGCTTAGTTTGGGACTAGAGAGCGTTGGTGTTAAAATGTCTCGAAATATTTAGTATTCTTCGATAGAGCCGAACATCATCCCAACCCTCTGGTGGTGAGCGCAGCAAATTACCAACCCGACACAAACGCGAACGTCAACAAGCGTCGCCCGCGAAACGTCCTCATCGACCCGGTCGAGGAAGGGGACTTAGATACGCCGGACCCACCGCCGGGGGTCCCGCCGGACAAACACTACACCCACAGTTAGTGCAACAACAAACACACAAGTTCGCCCTCGTCTCCGAGCACGGCGAGACCAACACAACGCGTACACAAGGTACACCCGCGTTCCAGGGCGGTTCTCACCGCCCCCAGCCACCGATTAGCTAAAAACACAGTCGACGGCCATCGGGGTCTCGGTCCGCACCGCAACTTCGATGGCCCTTAGATGACATATCGTAGTTAAACGCACGCATGAGCACATGCGCGGCCCTACCCACAGCGGAGGGCCCAAACCCGTGGGTTCTGGCTAGCCCACCGGTTCTGCGTCAGATGAAGCTTTAATAGTCTCGGGACTGAAAGCAAAAAGATCAGTTAATACAAGATACAAGAATATTTATTATGATTTATTTATTCATTTGTTTTCTCGTCTGGTTGGGTTTATAAATAAAAATAAAAATATAGATACATATTGCATATATAAAATAAATATTATGGATAAAATAAACATATACATATAAATGTTGTATATAATACATATATAAATAGGACCCAACCAGACGGAAGCCCTCGGCAGGGGGGACCAAACGGCCGAGGGTTAGGGCGATAGGGAGAGAAACCGGCGGACGATGCGGGCGGTATCTTATGATTTATTTATTCATGTTATTAATATTACCGAACAAAAAAGTTCACGTCGCATGGGTTCGCAATGGAGCTGTTATGATGCATGGGAGTTTGTTGCGACGCATCGCTCAGCTCGATGTGTTGCGACGCATCGCTCAGCTCGATGTGTTGCGACGCGTCGCAAAGTGTTGCGGCGCGACGTAACGAGAGTTGTTGCGATGTGGCGCAAAGTGTGTCGGTGTTGTAATCTAACATTTGATTTATATATTTGTTAATTAATGGACCGTATTTTATCACTTGTTTGTTGTAATAAAACGCTTCGTAAGAAACGGGGGTTACATTTTAGATTGAATGTGTGTAACATTAATAATCATACAATTTCATTTGACTAACATACCTTTGTGTTTAGATTTGTATTATATATACATATACAATATCAATTGATGTTTTTGTGTCTGTTAATTTTTTTTTCAAGTGAGACTTCTTTGGCTCAATGTTTGAATATATAAAAATGGCGGAAAATTAACACAGCGACATGAAATTAACTATATGAAGTTAGTCCATTAATGTTTTCAGTAATATTCGTATGTGAGTAAATTCCATTTTGTTACGCTAAAGAAGTATAACTTTTTACGTGCGTATATAAGTACACTGATTTGTTTGTCTGTATTTTTGAGCGAATGATTTTTTTTTTGGGCTTACAAGCAACGTCCCGGACAATGCAACGACGGAGTAAGTAAAATGAAAACAATTTTATTGCTAGAAATAAAAGCGAAAAAAAAAATTGTTAAAATGCAATGTGAATGTCAAATTCATATTTGACACCATATTTCACACATTGAATTTAACCACAGACCACTCATGTGGTCTGTGGTTAAATTCGCACAGATTATAGACGGAATGTATTTGAACAAAGAAGTATGATTCAATCCAATACCAATTAATTTACGCTAGTGTTGGATATACGAATGTATTACATATGGTGTTGTTTGCTGTTATAACTTAATAAGTTATTTTGTTTACAAGCTACATTAATGGAACGGAAATGGAAGAGTAAGTAACAGATTATAAAAACACGGGATAAAACTCTCATAATTATAAACTATAGCGTGTTCCGTTTTATAATTCTATTGATGCACAGGATGTTCCAGTGTTAAGTAAACCTATTTTAACCGACTTCGAAAAGGCGGTTCTCAATTTGGCTGTCTGGTTATTTTTTATGTCATCATTCAATCACCTACATTATTACGATATTTTTTATATAAACAAAGGTTTCGTGAAGATCAAATAATCCAATAAAAAAAATATATATAAACATTTATATTTATATCTATCTAAATCTGTAGAATGTACTTTTAAATAAAGCGAATTAAATTATAAATGAATAACAATTAAATGAACGACGGACATTTCAGACGAAAGAGTCCGGCGCCTTTCTGCGAGAGGGTCAAGGGTGATCCGCTCCGGACGGAGTGCTCGCCCAGGAGGACCGCCTTGGTCCTCTGCAACCTGGTCCGCCACGACACCATTTTGCCCAGGGCCTACCAGGTCAGTGGACGCCGCCGAAAATCAACTGTAGTATTCTTCTTTTAGAATATTTTTTTTCTTTTTTTTAATGCGATAAGTTGCCAAGTGAGCAGACGGTTCACCTGATGTTAAGTGAATACCGCCGCCCATGGACATCTGCTGCACCCGAGGGTTGCGGATGCGTTGACAACCTCTTAAATATTGCGCTCCGGCCACCTCACTCGCCAGACGAAACGCGAAAGTATTATACTTCCACTTCACGCCGGTCTTCCGTGAGGTCGTGGTACCTACCCGGACGGGCCTGCCTGCTCGTGCAACAGCCGAGGCTGCCGCGTGGCGCTACCACCGTGAAGTTGCCCCGGATTGCAGCACTTCGACCTGCTGCCGAACGTGCCGCCCGGGGAGGAGGCCCACTACGGCGGCTCCGTCTCCCTGGCGGACTACTGCCCCTACCTGCAGGAGTTCACCTGGAAGCATAAGAGCGTCCTCATCCGGGGCAGCCGCTGCTCCTACGAGGAGAACACGCCAAGTGAGTCCCTTATGTGTGATGAGGGTGTTTTTTTTTAATAATAATAATAATAGGATCGCTCCAAGCTCAAATGCAGAAGGCGGAGCTCCTCGATACCGCCCGCATCGTCCGCCGGTTTCTCTCCCTTTCGCCCTAACCCTCGGCCGTTTGGTCTCCCCTGCCGAGAGCTTCCGTCTGGTTGGGTCCTATTTATATATGTATTATATACAATATTGATATCTATTTTTATTCATAATATTTATTTTGTATATGCAGTATATATCTATATGTTTATTTTTTATCTATAAACCCAACCAGACGAGAAAACAAATTAATATCCCCCCCCATAATAATTAAACACATTAAGCACATTAAATTACCTAAGTGATACATCTAGCTATCTCCAAATTTATGATTTGTTTTGTACTATGCCATATAAATAGGGTCCATAAAGAACTATTTTACTAATTACTCTAACCTTTTGTTACTTAATGGATGTGCAATAAATAAATAAATAAATAAATAAAAATAATAATCTTTATTTGCCATTAAACTGGGTGATCAAGAAGTTGATTTACAAAATTATAGACCTCCAAGTTCAGCCATAATATATCGCATGCAAATATTCGTTATTTAGTATTTAATAACTACTATTATATTTGATATAAAAAAAAATACAATTTCTATAGATTAAATCAATACAAGATTTTATAATATGTACTTTAACATGTCAATACTGATTTTATTTATGATCTAGAAATTCCTTAACCGAGTAAAATGCGTGTTTTAGAAGCCAACCCCCTTAGGCACTTATTATCTTTTATGGTCTTTAATGTGTAAAAGTGGCTAACGAGGTGGTTGTTCACATCATGTTGAGCGATAACCGCCGCCCATGGACATTTGCAACACCCATAGGCAACATATACAGCGTGTCGCTACCATCGCGACAATAAATGAACACACGTCTAACGCTACGTGCCAATAATCATATAAAAATATTAACATTAAACAAAATCCATAATTAAAAAAAAAAAAGTTTTTCAATCAAACTAATTAAGTAAAAAATAAACAAAATTTGTAACATCCTATACAACTCGCGCCACAGCGTCTTATTACAAGCCTCTCCTTCTAACAGTATGTTTTGTCTCTTTTAAATTCATTTAACCCATTCATATGCTTTGTGACCTTTACAAATGAACTTTACGTTACGCTTTTATAGGTGAGGGTGTTCTAAAATTCTTTGTTTTGGAAAATTTTATAACTCTGTAAATATTGATGTTTAAAGAATTTAAATGTTTAATACAACTTAAAAAAGTTATCCCCTATATGTGTGTTCATTTATTGTCGCGATGGTAACGACACGCTGTATATGCATGTATATAACTCAATATATGGTTTGTATCCAATTATAATATTATTTTCATATATATATTCTCTTTAATTAAAATTTTATTATTCTTGCATCTTTTGCTGCACCTACCATAAACTCTCACCACATCATGGGTTGACTGGTAGAGAATGCCTTTAGGCATTAAGTCCGCCCTTTGTTACCTTGTTTTACTAAAGGTTGGCAATAAAGATTAAATAAAAGAATAAAAAATAGGCATGCAAACGCGTTGCCACCCTTAAATAAACTGTGCCCCGGCTACTGTGCTCACTCACCAGACGGAACGCAGAAGTGCAACACTTCTAGCCGGTCTAATGTGAGGTCGCGGTACTCACCCGGACGGACCTGCCCATTAGTGGAACAGTTTTGCGTGGCCCCACAGAAAGTTTGTGCAGAATAGTAAACATTTTAAATTGTTTGATTATTTTCTGCCATTGGCGGAGGTAAAATTGATTTTCGAGACGGTGTCAAACACTTTTATTCTTTATTTTTACTTGCATTTGTTTTATGAAGTGCGTCATCGGATATCATATGGTGTAATCAAAGAAAGTATCCGAGTATATTGTAAAGTAAAGTAAAGTAACAGCCTATACATGTCCCACTGCTGGGCAAAGGCCTCCTCTGTACAGAGGGTATCAGGGCATAGTCCACCACGCGGCCCCACTTCGGATAGGCGTACTACGAGTATATTGAATTGTACATAAATCATCATAATTCTTTCAGCCTGTTTGAGTCCACTGCTGAACATAACCACCTTCATCCATCGACTTCCCGCACACTTGCACAGTTCGTCACTCCATCTAGTGGCGGTCGCCCTACACTGCGATGGCTAGTACGAGGCTGCCACTCGAGAACCTTTCTTCCCCTACGGTTATCGCTTCTACGAGCTATATAGCCGGCCCATCGCCATTGAAGCTTGCTAATCATCTTGATTATATAAAACTTGGCTTTGATGGCTTCGGCGTCGGGGGTCGTGGGTTCGATTCCCACAAGGGACAACTATTTGTGTGACCCACAAATAGTTGTTCCGCATCTGGGTGTTTGTCCGCGTGAAATTTACGTTTGTAAAACGTCCTTACAACACAGGACAAAGTTATCCTAAAGTAAGGGCAATATTTTAAAATGAAAGAAAAAACGTGTACACACGTCTTAAATTTCAAACTTTTTTGAATTACTTTGTGAATCTAAACCCTTCTCGAATCCGCCTGAACGCACACAAAAAATGCATTAAAATCGGTTCAGTCTTTTCGTGAGGAGTTCAGTGACATACATACGTACAGAAGAATTATACATATAAAGATTATATTATACCTTCCTCGTAGAGACGGACGTGAATTTCGCCTTGGAGAACTACGGGCCCCACTCCAAATGTTTCGACCACAGCGACAGGGTATGGGAGCAGAAGTCATGCAGACAGGTACGGACCTATATATACAGCGTGTCCATAATTCATTTGAATTATAAGTTTGAACAATATTAATCTATTCTCAATTTGACCGTTGACTCTAACAATAAACAAAAGAGTATACAGCGTGTCGTTACGACCGCGACAATAAATGAACACAAGTCTAACGCTACTAGTCAATAATCAGAAAAAATATGAAACGTTAAAAAAATCGATAATTAAAAATATATATTTTTCAAACAAACTAATTAAGTAAAAAAGAAACAAAATTTATAACACCTGTACAACTACAACTGACTGATTTATACATTCAGAGACTTTTTCATTCGTTGCCACAGCGTCGCATTATAAGTCCTTCTAACAGTATGTTTTATCTCTTTTAAATTCGTCGAATGAATTCATATGCTTTGTGACCTTTTCAAATGAACTTTACGTTACAGTTTTATGCGTAAGGGTGTTCTAAAAATGTTTGTTTTGTAAATTTAATAACTCGGTAAATATTGATGTTTAAAGAATGTACATGCATTACTAATACAATCTTACTAATACTTAATACTTAATACAATTTTAAAAACTTATCCTAGGTATGTGTGTTCCGAGCCGTGATAGCTCAGTGTCCGGGCGCTCGCCTTTAATTCAATATACTCGAGCAACCCGAGTTCGATCCCCGGTGCCGGCACCAATGAAGTTTTTAACTTTAAGTGCTGACTTATCACGTGCTCCGCGGTGAAGGAAAACATCGTGAGGAAACCTGCATAGTTTCGAAATAATAACAAAAAAATATATTTCGAAGATATGTGAAGTCCGCCAATCCGCAGTGGGGCAGCGTGGTGGACTATGCCCTGATACCCTCTGTAAAGAGGAGGCCTTTGCCCAGCAGTGGGACATGTATAGGCTGTTACTTTACTTTACTTTTTATGTGTGTTCATTTATTGTGGCGGTTGTAACGACACGCTGTATACATACATAATAGCAGAGCTGTGAAACGGTGGTGCGATTGCTAAGCTTCGGCGTCGGTTGTCGTGGGTTCGATTCCCGTCGCGGCACAAGTGTGTATTTGTGTGACCCACATGTAAATGTTGCTATGCAAACATAACAGAGCCGTGATAGCTCAGTTTTTTCGGGCGCACGCTCTAAATCCGTACTATTATTATAAATGCGAAAGTAACTCCGTCTGTCTGTCTCGCTTTCACTACAAAACTACTGAACCGATTTAAATGAAATTTGGTACACAGATAGTCTAGAGTCTGAGCAAGGACATAGGCTATTTTTAATTGGATGTTTTTTTTAAACAACGATCTTTATTTAATAGCTTAAACGCGAGCGACGCCGGGGGCGAAAAGCTAGTTTAATATACTCGAGCAACCCGAGTTTGATACCCGGTGCCGGCGCCACTGAAGTTTTTCAATTTTAAGTGCTGACTTATCACGTGCTCCGCGGTGAAGGAAAACATCTGAAAGAAACCTGCATATTTTCGAAATAATAACAAAAAAATATATTTCGAAGATATGTGAAGTCCGCCAATGCCGCATGGGGCAGCGTGTGGACTATGCCCTGATCTGTAAAAGGAGGCCTTTGCCCAGCAGTGGGACATGTATAGGCTGTTACTTTACTTTACTTTTTATGTGTGTTCATTTATTGTGGCGGTTGTAACGACACGCTGTATACATACATAATAGCAGAGCTGTAAACGGTGGTGCGATTGCTAAGCTTCGGCGTCGGTTGTCGTGGGTTCGATTCCCGTCGCGGCACAAGTGTGTATTTGTGTGACCCACATGTAAATGTTGCTATGCAAACATAACAGAGCCGTGATAGCTCAGTTTTCGGGCGCACGCTCTAAATCCGTACTATTATTATAAATGCGAAAGTAACTCCGTCTGTCTGTCTCGCTTTCACTACAAAACTACTGAACCGATTTAAATGAAATTTGGTACACAGATAGTCTAGAGTCTGAGCAAGGACATAGGCTATTTTTAATTGGATGTTTTTTTAAACAACGATCTTTATTTAATAGCTTAAACGCGAGCGAAGCCGCGGGCGAAAAGCTAGTTTAATATACTCGGGCAGCCCGAGTTCGATCCCCGGTGCCGGCACCAATGAAATTGTCAATTTTAAGTGCTGAATTATCACGTGCTCAGCGGTGAAGGAAAACATCTGAAAGAAACCTAAAGCATATTTTCGAAATAATAACAAAAAAAATATATTTCGAAGATATGTGAAGTCCGCCAATGCCCTATGCCCTGTTACCCTCTGTACAAAGGAGGCCTTTGCCCAGCAGTGGGACATGTATAGGCTGATACTTTACGTTTAAACATAAATTAAATAATTAACACGTGGAATAACAATAATCTGTGGGTCGTACCGTGTGGAATTCGAAACCAGGACCCATGGGACCGAAGCCATATGCATCCATAAGCGATTCGCTTCGACACTCATCATCCGTAGCTGAGGAATGGAACAACCTGCCGGCTTCCGTCTTTCCGTCCGATTACAACGTAGGCGTCTTCAAGGCAAGAGCAAATAGGTTTTTACTGAGCTAGCGCGCTCACCATCAACGGCTGCATCCCCACTTACCATCAGTCAAGTGCTGGCCAGTTTTGAATTAAAAAAAATAACGCAAAAAAATAAGTAAAGTATCACTTAAAATTATACTATAACTAGCTAACGTTGTTCTGCCATATAAATTGTTTATAGGTAAATTTTAGGGTAGAAAAAACCGTTTAGCATGGACCACCCTCAACATTTAGGGGGATGATAAATAGATGTTGTCCACGCTGGCCGATATGCACACAAAATTTCACGAAAATCGGTCGAGCCGTTTCGGAGCAGTTTAATTACAAACACCATGACACGAGAATTTTATATATTAGCTTGGTGCCAGCACCGGGATTGGAACTCGGAACCCCCCAACGCTGAGCTAATTTTTTTTTATGTGAAAAAGTTGAAAACGAGTCGGCGGTTCACCTGATGTTAAGTGATAACCGCCGGCCATGGACATTTACAACACCGGTTGCAGATGTGTTGCCCACCTTTTAATAATTTGGGCCCCGGCTACCTCACCCACTGGCGAAATCTGCAACTCTACGGGTGTTGCAAATGTCCATGGGCGGTTTTCAATTAACATCAGGTGAACTGCCAGCCCGCATGCCACTATCTCACATAAAAAAATCGAAAGAATCTCGGGGAAATATATTCATGCTGGCTGCACTGTCTTCACAACAGATTAGGGAGTGGCAACACTGGGGCTCCGGTTGCTACAAGTACAAATGCCAGAGCGGTAGACTTCATATAATGGTGAGTAACTATTGTGTTTCTTAACCCTATCTGTATTGTGAACGCAATGCAAATTTAATGAAATATTCTTCTTAATAAGTAGAACATATCGACACAAGAAAACTTATTTGCCTTAACCCACTCTAAAAGGCTGACAAAATCATAACTTTAAAATTTAGACTTGAACATGAATCCAATATTTGTATTTTACTTTCTTTAGACTTACGAGTAGCTTGTATCCCAATATATCTAATATGTAATGAATATATAGATGGAGCTTCTGAGCATGCGGTCCGCTTTAAATGTGAGATAGATGAATTATCCGAAAATTTTCGCAATGTAAAGGTGTCGGCCGCTAGGCTCTTTTGGCCGGAGCGTCTCAGAGAAAGTTTTTCAACATAGTCACAAAGACTGAGCTCGCTATATAAACTCACTATATAAGTTCTAATACAATGGTATAAGTAATTGAAATGAGCCCAAAAAGCCTGCGACGGTACAATGAAAACAAGTCCATTTTTTTATTGACGAAAAACAAAACCGACTTGAAACATCGCGCTCTGTATACATTTTATAGTTGATATTCGAGAGTTCCCTAAGAATCTCCGGAGCCCAAGATCCGATACCAATGAAATTAATATGGGACCACGTGGGAAGCACCAGCTTTCAAATAAGAATCATCAATATCGCTTCACTCTGTCATAACACATCAAATCGCATAAAAAAATAGAGTGGAATTGAGAACGTCCTCCTTTTTGAAGTGGTTGATAAAATGTAAGATTTTATTGCGTCAGGGGTGTAGGATTTAAGTTTTCAAGTCTTACGCCAGTTTACACGCTCCGCTGAACCGTGGGCGATGCTTACCACATGTGAATGAATGAATGAATGAGTGAATTAATGTTTGAATGAATGAATGAATGTCTTTATTGCCAGAATATGGTAAGTACATTGTGATCTTAATTAAAATAATTTGGTGCAACATATTCAGCTGACTTCGGCATGCAATTTTCAATTCGATATAAAATTATTTACATTAAAACATTTAAACATATTTATTTCATTAAAAATTAACATTATCATACGGATATTACATACCTATGTCAAATTATTAAATGTCGGTATTACATAACAATAGGTGGGCAACTACTCGTACACCTGCTACTACGCGGGGCAGGTGCTCCAGGTGCGGATAATGCAGCGGGGCTGGCTGCACCGCGGCGGCGTGGTCTGCCCGCCGTGCAGGGAGCTCTGCGCCGAGGAGTTCGCGGTGAGCGGCGCGGCTCAACACTTTTTGGTCACCCACTCGCCCGTTCGCCACTGGGGATAGTCCACGTGACGCTCGAAAGGGAGGGGGGGGGGGGGATTGTGAGAAAAATCTCGAAATATCACAAGGTTGTAGCGAGATATCACGAGTATAGGCGCGTGAGTTTCCAAATCGTTGTCTAGATGTTTTTACCCAACTGCGCCAGAAGGAGGGTTATGTTTTTCGTGAGTGTGTATGTATGTATATATGTATAATTGTTTGGCACGCGGAAACGGTCTTTAATGTTCCAGAATTAAATTAGATTACACTTAGCTGTATTTTAAGATTGTCTTAAACTTAAATATAATTACAAAATACATGATTGTGGGGAGGGGAGGGGGTTAAAAATGAGAAAAAACCAAATCAAATCAACCAAAAATTAGATTCAGTCTGAACCACGGTCTTACTACCTATATGATGGGTAGCTTTCTCGAAGCACGAAATTGTTTTCACAAAAACACGTACTAAGCCCATTGTTTCCAGGTTTCCCCCACGTCCAATTGTAAAAAAAAACGCTTTTAATTTCTCACTCAATAAAAATCTAACTCAATTACTGTCGTAGTCTCGGGAGGAGTACTGCAAAGGGGGCGAGGAGGCGCCGCCACCGAACCTGTATCCGAACGACATGTTGGTTTGCCGCGCTTCGCTCCCGCCCGCCGCCATCTTGCCGGCCGCCATCTTGTCCGCGGCCGCCATCTTGCTGTCGTGCGTGACGCTCTGACCGCGCTGATCACCGAAATGTTAATGCGACGATAAAACCGACTCACGAATTTCGCCCCTTTGAGGGGCGAAAACCGCGACCCGCGGAGACTCAACGCTTACGCCAATCATTTTAAAGCACGAAACCTCAGAAGGGGACGGCGACGTCGATACGTCTCTTTCTAAGTTAACTTGGACCGCTCATTTATTTCTCGAAATATCCAAACAGGAAAAATTCGACGTCCACGTCGAATGACATGAAAATATTATAAATTTTTCGTGTTCTAAGGACCTGTGCTATGTGTGTAAATAAGTTGTTCCTCACTTCTCGCTGTGTATTTGAGGTATTTGGGAATTATTACGATATACGTTAGGTTCGGATTTGAACCGAGGTACTTATTATTAAGTGGCATCGAACCCACGGACCAATGAGGTGTTAGACTTAACTTTAACTGATCTTAACTCCTTCGAAATTGTTAAACTAACTTTGTTTCTCATATGTAAATACATTTAATGAAAATTAAATTCTCTGGCCCATTTCTATTAATGTAATACGAAACTTTAACATTTAAGTTAAACGTCCATCCATCAATGGCGGTAGTCAATATTACCGAAAAAATATTAGATATACACAAGCTATTGTTAATAACGTTTAGTCAATTTAGCGTTAAGCTCACATTAACTTATGTCTTAAGTTTATTTCTTAAATGCCATAAAATAATTTATTTTATTGTGTACCGTATCGACTTATTTATAAGGGCTATTGTGTAACTTAACTGCACGCTTAACTGCTTATGGGTCTTGTGATATCACATAAAGCTAACTTAGCGTCAGAAATGTAATCTTGTTTATGTGACAGTTAGGTGATTTGCTCAGAACTTTACCACCTTTTAGATGACACGACGTAACTTCAAGGCCACCATTATCGCCCCTTAATGGGGCGAAACCTGTGCAGTGTTCCTGATCTGTTCTCACGATTCGTGTTGCTCTTGATTGGAATTGTTGCTCCATCTTGAGCCAATATGTGGCAAATTCCATCCTCTATCCCGATATAGAAAGTTATCGGCGATTTCTCCGGGTGATGGTCGATTTTGAGGCGAAATACGCGTCGCATTCATTCGCTGTCTCAACTGAAGTCATTTTTGGCTGTTATTTAATGGTGCCGTTCCGTTTCGGAGAGGGAAAATGTATACATTATTTTACCATGTAATAAGATGCCGTGGAGAAGAGATAATCGTAAATTATACTTATTTAATATTAATAATCTCTATTGTAGAAAAGGTGAACTTAATTCTGTATTTCATTCGCTACTTTGCCGTTTCTACGATGGGATTCCGTAATACGAATATTCGTAACTAAATTCGTGTCACCGCTAATTACTTGATATTTTTGTCGTTTCCAATATCTGCATGCTTGCAATTGGCGAGTGTGTTTAGTGGTTTTTAACTGTTATTTTTTTACAATATTTAAATCAAGGTTTCGAATTCGATATGTCGTAATTTTATCGCCAATATATGAGTGAAAATTAATAATTTAATATCTTACTTTACTTCACTGTAAATATACAGCGTGCTGTTACAATCGCGACCTTAAATGAACCATAAAAAGAAATAATTCAAACAAACAAATAAAAAAGAAACGAAGTGTTAACATCCTATACAACTACAATGACTGATTTATATATTCAGTGACATTTTCTTACGTTGCCACAACGTCTCGTTACAAATCTCTCCTTCTAGTTTTTATCTGTTTTAAATTCATTTATGCTTTGTGACCTTTACAAATGAACTTTACACTTTTATATGTACGGGTGTCCTATAATTATTATTTTTTTTGGAAAATATAATAACTCTGTAAATATTGATGTTTAACGAAAGTAAATGTTTAATACAATTTTTAAAAAGTTATCCTCTATGTGTGTTTATTTAAGTTCGGGGTATTAGTGCCATGTTGTATTGTTTTCGCAAATTTTAGGGTAATATTGATCAGTGTTTTTATAGACATCCATGATTTTAGGAGCTGAAGGGAAATTTATTGAATGTTCTACTTATTTTTTTATCTGTGAGAAGTATTGTCTTAGTTGAAACAGAATATATAGCGTGTCGTTACCATCGCGACAATAAATGAACACACATATAGAGGATAACTTTTAAAAATTGTATTAAACATTTACATTCTTTAAACATCAATATTTACCGAGTTATTAAATTTTCCAAAACAGAATTTTAGAACACGCTTTTAGAAGACTGTAACGTAAAGTTCATTTGTAAAGGTCACAAAGCATGTGAATGAGCTGAATGAATTTAAAAGAGACAAAACATACTGTTAGAAGGAGAGGCTTGTAATGGTTGATACGATATCACAGAAGTGGTTGATAACCACAAATGAAAAATGATGTATAAATTTATAAATATTCTCTCCCGATTTGTATTTCCTACGGCGTAGCGAAGCCAAAGTGATTTTTTTATAAATGAAATCATTGATATAATTGACATATTGTTATTTTTATATATTTTGGAATCATCTATTTTTAGACGTACACTATATTTAAATGGCATGTTATTCACATGATGATATAACTTATATATACAATTCTGGTCCTTTTAGCCGGACAAACGGACTGCAAACTTTGCTTATAGTTTTAAATAGTCCTTTGTAATGAACGACTATACCAGATTTTAAATATGGTTTCGTATGTAAGAAAGATAAGACGAAAAAAAACTTACCTATTTTGTGTTTAAAGTACTTAGTATATCAAATGCTGCCAGTTTTCTAAATTTTTTTTCAGTTGCGTTAGTTTTTGTATATAAACTGTATCGCAAAACATGGTTCGTACAACTTTGCGTCCTATAACTAGTCTTTGAAATGTTTAAAAAATCAATGATATTTGTTTTATTTATAATGATATTTTATTATACGCATACCAAATCACCGGTGGAAAGTGTTTCTATTTCCAAACAGAGCGTCAGCATACATTCACCCGTTTCGTTCAAATGTCATAAAAAGGATAGCGTAATAAAAGCAATAAGAGAAAAGAGGACGGCAAGTGTTTGTCACTTTTGCATAAGCTTAAATAATCTCGAGGTGCATCCGTCTTTCTCTTCCCCGTATTATACTTATTTGCTGCCTCTTTCTTAGTTCGCCACTCCGGACGCGTTAGCAGCATATCTGTAGTAGAAAACATCATCGTAAAATGTATAATATTTTGCCAAACTAAAGGTTTAGATTCCACCTTAGATGATTCAGATCCCTTTTTAACCTTTATTACTTAACATTTATTTATTCCGTAAATGCAAACTTGAAAAATTCACGTAATCCACAAAATCACACCATCTTTAAACTAAAATACACAGTTTAATATCAACAAAAAAACTCCAAACAATTACCGAATCCAAATGATGTACTGATTGTTTGAATTTTCTTATTTTCACATTATATACTTAAAATATTAGCATAATTTTTAATTCGTCCCAAAATCCTTGTATCATAGCTAACACGTTGGATTGCGTTTGTAAATATTACTTAAGTGTTTTAGTTACTTCGGTGCTTAAATCGCTGTAAATTGTGATTGTTTTTAATTTCATTCCTATTTAATCCGTAATTATAATTGATCCTGTTTATATATTTTTTTTATTTAAACGACACCGGTTTGTGACCAGCCGACTTCTGTGTTGTGTTGAAAAAAAATATATATTTTTGTAATTTCGTTTTGTTCTTGTTTTTATTTTTTAATGGAAACGAAATAAAATCATTTTGACATGTGTAATGTTTTTTTGTTTAAACCTTTTATGTTACATGATGATGGAAATTACCATCATAACATTTATTATATAAAAAATTATTACACTGATAATATGTTAATTTTATTTGTTGAGGCACCGTCGATGGTGTTGTCTCATTGCAGTATCTTTGAATGATTGCTTTCAGTCTGGTTTTTATTAATTATTTTGAATTTAGTAGTTAGTGCATACATAATATGTGATGTTATTAGATTATCTAAACAGTAAATAATGTTACAAATTATAATAAGGTTTGACTTTTTTCGGTAAATGCCAACTTATATCAACAATAGCGTAGCAGACTACATATAGAAGATATATTTTTAATTTTTTTTTGTTTTTACTATTTGGAAGATATGCAGGCTTGCTCGAGACGTTTTCCTTAAATTTCGACCAAAACGTTACAATAAAACCGATATAGATATGTTAGTAAAACGGTTAACCAAAACCGTTATTTATAAAAGCAAGACAGTTAGTGAAAACGACTTAAATAGGTAAGTAAAACAGTTTATGAAATCAGCACTTAAAATTGCGTTAGCGAGTTCTTTCGCCAGAATAAATTCCGTTACTTAAGTATACTTTATTAAAATCGAGTGCCCAAACACAGATTTTTAATAACTCAGTCAATTATGAATCTTTATCTATAAAAATTGAGCTGCCATATTTTATGTCCACATAGCTCGGAAACCGGACCATTGATTAAACTGATATTTGTTCACAACACAGCTTGAACAGGATAGAACAGTTTTTGTGTAGGTACTTTTTATTCCGAAGATCCAGGGAAAACGAAAAAAGCAATAGCCGGTTTCCGCTAGCAATATTATACAAGAAAATGAGTAAAATGTAAAATTATGGTTAAAAAAATTCAGTTTACGATTAGTTAACGATAAAAGTTTCAGACCTTAGCTAGTTAGGTTTAATGTGGGTATTTTTTAACGATCGAAACTCACTGAACTGCGAAAGTGCTAATTTTCTGCCAAAATTTCAATGCGCCATTAATCTTGCCATAATTTTTATCGTTTTCATTATTACTCCTATTGTTACTAAGATCGTTTCGTTCTTTACAAAGTGAAAAATGCTTCGACTTTCAATAATTGCTTTGGGTGAGTTTCCTACAATTTTACCATTTTGTATGTATTTGAAAGAGTTGGTTAGTAATTCCTAAAAATGTTTACCACTTTGTACATGAAAATGGTAAAATTTTTTTGAAAATGTAGTAGTTTTTTCGTATAATTTTTACTATTCTGTGTGGTACTATTTGAATTAAATTTCATGGGACTATTTTGTAAGATAAGTACGTATAAAGTTTTGATGTACAACTTTCGTGACAGATTTGAAGGAAATGTTGGATAAATGAAAATGAGAATAATTATATGTTTTTATCAAATTATGTAACTGAACTCCTAAACGGCTGGACCGCTTTTGATGAAATTTTTTGTGTGTGTTAATCGCGTGAGAATTGTTTAAATTCACGATTCGGTGCACAACAAGTTGTTTTTTTTAGTTAATTTTTTATTTTTATGGTGTCAGATTTAAGACATGTAACAGGCCAAAGTCTGTCGTGTCCGCTAATAAAATTTGCAGTTTTGGGGAGCGCCCGTTGGGTGCTCGTGAAGGAATATTGTCGGAGTTGTGTAAACAAGTATACGAAGCTGATCCCTCTCCCACTATTTGTCGTTGATAAAACTCCGAGCGTGGCGCATGAGGTCGGTAGGTCGTCGAATAAAAGATAGGCAGATACTTCACCTGATTATATTCAGTACTGGTTTACAACATGGTTACGTTTTATTAACAGCGTGTGTCGTTGAAGTTCAGTTACAAGTCTGTTCATGAGGTAAGCGTCCTGTCATAGCGTCGTCTATGGAAATTCATAGACCATCCCACAGATAATGGCGAACTCCACACAGTACTCATAATAACATGTGGTAACTAGAGAGGATACATCTGCAGACATTTCAACCTTAACTTGTTTAGATTTGTCATGTCCTACCATCAGTGATAGGGCCACGCAACAGTCTTCGCTGTTGCACTAATGTGCAGGTTGCTCCGGGTAAGTACCGCGACCAAACAGAGGTACGGCGTGACGTGGAAGCGTTATACTTGGGGGCGCACTGTATTAAAAGGTCTGCAAGCCCACGGATGTTGCAAATGTCCGTGGGTGGCAGTTATCACTTAACATCAGGTGAACTGGCCGCTAGCTCGTGTAGAACCGTTGGGGAAGAAAGTTTCTCGAGTGGCAGCCTCGTACTGGCCATCGCAGTGTAGGACGACCCCCCACTAGATGGAGTGACGACCTGTGCAAATGTGCGGGAAGTCGATGGATGCAGGTGGCTCAGGATCGTACTTCATGGCAGTCTGTTGGGGAGGTCTATGTTCAGCAGTGGACTCAAACAGGCTGAAATGATGATGATGAACTGGCCGCTCGCTTGCTACCTTTCCACATTAAAAAAATCAAATGGGCCGATAGATTGGATCAGTGTTACCAACTGTTCAAAAGAAAATGCTCCTAAAGCAATTCGAAAACACACTAAAATTCACTAAATTCAAATCAAAACTTCCTAAATGGGAGACATTTAGGACGTTTTGGTTCCAATTTAATCCCTAAAACTTCCGTTGTAAATTTTCTCTTCCTAAATTTAACAAAGATTACCTTATGAACCTCTTACTTAGAAAAGCCACCCTGTATAATATAATATATAGGGTGGCTTTTCTAAGTGTATCCATTTTTTTTATTAAATTCTAGACATAAATAATTAATTATAAGAAATGATAAATATTTAAAATCACTCGTAAGTAATTAATTACATTCATTTGAGCTTATCTCAAAAAGTGCGTGATTTATACGCAACTCATTTATTTTACGCGCGATCATTCATAATTAACACGCACACAAGTTCGTGCACAGTAAAATTTAGGTATTTATGAATGACTACCGCATTGTCAACACGTTCTGTTTTTTAGGGAATAGAATGGCATTTTTTTTTTGGAAAAAAAACTTTGTTTTTTATTTCAATAAACGATTATACTATCGAGTCTGAACCTCCTGTGTAAATTTGGGCACTGCTCAAAAAATCTCCCTGTATTATTATGTTTTTATTTATGTAAAGATATTATATTTATAATTATTGCATATACGTGTATTATAATTATTATTACTAAATCGGTTATTTATATTAGTTAATGTATGCACACAATTTACTACCATTTGTAACCAATTTCAATTCACATGTCTGGAAGAAATTTCTTAAGAAATAAGCAGGACCCTTGTACAAAGTCTTTCATGTATTTTCTACATCTCTGTCATAATTCTCTGTGTACATAAATTATAAAATAAAATCAATGAATGAATAAGAAAATTCCTAAGTTGGCATCCGCGGATTGGATTGATGTTTCGGTGTTCGCAGCGCTCTTGATAGGAGCCGGCCAGGGCTACGTGCTGCTGCAAGTGCGTAAGGGCGACAACCAGTCCGACGTGGACGCGGTGATTCACAAGGTGGTGCCGAACAGCAATGGCGAGGAATCCAGAAAGCGGCTTGCCAACGGACCGCGCTACGGGAACCGTCCGAAAGTAATAACAATAACTGGTGGACGCCGAGTGGTCGAAATTCCGACAACAAATAATTTAAGTTACAAGTTTGAAACAATATTAATCTATTCTCAAATACAATACACAAGCAAATAGTCTATGTATATGCGTGTGCGTATCAATTACATGGTAGTGTGTGTAATCTTATCCTTTAAACGAGCAATTCTTGTATATATATATATATATATATATATATATATATATATATATATATATATATATATATATATATATATATATATATATATATATATGTAATCGGAATCTCGGAAACGGCTCCAGCGATTTTCATGAAATTTAGTATGTGCATAGATTCGGGGGCGAAAAATCGATCTAGCTAGGTTTCATTTTTAAAAAATGCCCTTTTTATCTCTGTTTTCAGGGAATGAAAAATATAATTCGAATATGACGGTAAATTTCGCCGCAAGAGAAAATGTCATAATAGCTCGGTCGGTAATCGGGCGACCTCAAAACAGACGGCCGTGGTTCGCGTCACGATCATTTACACATTTATTTTTTACTTTTTTTTCGATTCCAGATCATTGCTTTCTTTATTTTTAATTTTTTGTCGATTTCTTATTTTTTTATTTTTTTCCCTTTTTTTTAAAGTTCTTTCTTTTGTGAAAAACATCAGTTCATATTTTCTTATTATTACGTCGGTAAGATCGAAAAATATTATGCATATTTAATTACTCAGTAATTTATATCTAAATGTAATTTCCAAAATACACGATTTACCAAAAAAAAAAAAAACAAACCGAGCAAAGCTCGGTCCTCCGGGTACTATTGATTTAATGTATCTTTTATGCGTAATTAAAAAAAATATTAGCATACTCCTCCTCTATTATAAACTATAGGTATGGGAAATTTCATACTCCTCCGTTCAGGCAATTATCGTAAAAAGGGGTATAAAGTTTTTGCTTCACGTATTAATACATAGGTAATAATTTTAATAAACGTCGACGTCTATCGAGCTTGTCGCCATCCCGGGCAGTCGCTTCGGCATGTTATCTCCAGTTATTCTGCATGCATGGATTCTGAGTACCTGCATAGACCCAACCTAGTGTTTTTTGTTTTCATTCCATATCACCATTCCATATCACGACGACTTCGTGAAAACGGAAACAGATAAGATGACGAAGTATCTGGACCTAGCTCCCAGGGTGACCAACATGTGTGGCGGTGTGCCGAAAAAAATTATTACCGGATAGTCGTTTCTGCTTGGCTTGAATGGGTTAATCCCAGTCAGTCTCTTGAACATCTGAGGCGACTGGGCTCCGCGACGGATTGCTCCGAGCTCAAATACAGAAGGCGGTGCTCCTCAATGCCGCCCGCATCGTCCGCCGGTTTCTCTCACTTTCGCCTTAACCCTCGTCCGTTTGTTCTCCCCTGGAGAGGGCGTAGACGTGGGTTCGATTCCCACAGTGGCGATAATCTTTTCGTACTTTTTCAACAAATTGTAATGTTTTATCTTAAGTGCAGAGATTAGCATCGTAAAAAATTTAAATTTGTTGTTCAGGTGGACAAATCTGGCTTGGAGAGCATCGTTCTGGCCATCAACACGGGGGCCTCCCCCAACCAGGTGGGGTCTGGGTCCACCTTGATGAAGAAGGTCCAGGAGCTCTTGGTCGATTTCCTGAAGGACGAGAGGGTCGACTCCTATTTCAGGGCCAATAGGGACTCCTACAAAGTCAGTAAGTGTATCAGTGTGTCAGCATTGGAATATTATTATTACTAGTGGTCGCCCGGTTGTCGAAATTCGACCATAATTAATTTGAATTATAATAATATTAGTCTATTCTCAATTTGACCACAGACTTTAACAATAAACAAAAGAGTATCTATGCGTGTGTGTGTCTCAAATACATGGTAGTGTGTGTATTGTTTTTTTATTGAATTAATGTATTTTTTATGCACAGTTAAAAAAAATATAAGCATTCTGCACTCCTCTATATAAACTATAAGTGTGGGAAATTTTATACTCCTCCGTCCGCGCAATTTTCGTAAAAAGGGCTACAAAGCTTCAAAAAGGGCTTCTATATATAGAAGATAGATATATAGTTTATTTTACACCACAAAGAATTTAATGCAACCGTACAATAAGGCGGTTTTACCGCTAACAAGCGATCCCTTCAAGACAACCTTAGGACAAGGAAAATAAAAGTTATGAATAGTGGGAGGTTGTGTGGTTTATAAACTTCCTTGATAATGTGTACATACAGATAAATAAAATTGGTGTCTGTTTGTAATATTAAAATAACCGCTTTTTACGAAATGCATATGGATTTTAAATGCATATTATTTTGATATACGGTATATATACCAAAATAACATTTTTTACAATTTTTGTCTGTCTCTCTCTTTCTGTCTGTTTGTTCCGGCTAATCTCTGAAACGGCTGGGTCGATTTCGACGGCACTTTCACTGACAGATAGCTGATGTAATAAGGAGTAACTTAGTCTACTGTTATTTTAGATTTTTTTTATTTTAAACTAGCTGTACCCGCGACTTCGTCCGCGTGCAATTAAATATAAAAAAAATATTTTAGATCCTTTTTATTTTAAATTCCACGGGCACAGCTAGTACCAAAACAAAAAAGGAAAGTAACAGCCTGTACATGTCCCAGCGGGGCAAAGGCCTCCTCTGTACAGAGGGTATCAGGGTGTAGTCCACCACGCGACCCCACTGCGGATTGGCGGACTCCACATATTTTCGAAATATTTTTTTATTATTTCGAAAATATGCAGGTTTCCTCACGATGTTTTCCTTCACCGCCGAGCACGTGATAATTCAGCACTTAAAATTAACAATTTCATTGGTGCCGGCACCGGGGATCGCCCGCATTGAATTAAAGACGAGCGCCCGGAGGTATCACGATCTATATAATACTAACATATTAATAAAATCATACAAATTTTCCTAACCTGAATTAAAATCTGTTCACTTCAAAACCGCGCAGACCCATAAATAGAGCACTTCAGGAACGGAAAGCCTTCCCTTATGCTTAAATTGTACCGAGTACATACCTATTTGGTTTCATGCCTTAGTTGTATGTTCTTTTAATTGTTAACATGTCGCTGTTTGTTGAATCTAAATAAATATTCATTCATTCATATGAATAAATACATACAAATTTTTCGAACGCGACTTAAAAACTATTCACTTCACAACCGTGCAGAGCCAGAAATAGTGCACTTCAGGAGCGGGAAGCCTTCCCTGATGCTGGAGGTCAACTTCGAGTCTGTGATGAGCTCCGTCAAGGACGCGCTGAGGTCACAGAAGGTCAGGAGCTATACGGACGGGATCGCCCAAAAGGCGGCCATCGTCTACCGCACGCTGGTCGACGAGATCAAGGGCACCGGCAAAGGCGGCATAAAGGAATACCTGTAGCGCTAAGCGCTGAGCATGTTGCTAAATAAACGTCCCCTCGTCGTAATGGAGAAATTATTTCATCCCTACGTCCTTACTAATGTTATAAAGGCGAAAGTTTGTATGTATGGGTGGATGTTTGTTACTCTTTCACGCAAATACTACTGAATGGATTTTAATGAAACCTTACAATATTATAGCTTATGCGTTAGAATAACACATAGGCTATAATTTATAGCCTATGTGTTATTCTCTCCATTACAATTTGATACCATCAAAACCAAATACATTCTCAATGTAATTTGAAGGTAGCGATATAGCTCTGAAATTTTGATCTTTTATCTGATCTTTTGATCTGAAAAATTTTTTGTGTCTATTGGGGGTATTATTTTTATTATTTTTCCCCTCTTCTGTGGAGGCCCCGGGGCTGCAGCCCCGGTTGAACTCCCCTAAATCCGGCCCTGAAACGACACACACTTTTCAGAATACTTGCAAGGAGCAGGTCATTGGTAAAGATAGTTAGGGCATAAGTGAAAATATTAAAAGGGCTAATATGAGAAATTTCACGAATATATTATTTGAAAGAGATATGCCAGGATCGAACAGTAGACGTTTAATATCTGGTTACTACTGGGGAAACGCTTATTAGAAGCGGTTTTAGTACATTTCTTCCACATCCGATAAAAAAACGAATAATATTTTTCATTGTGGCAATTTTGTCAGTAATATTCATTGCATGTTAGAAAAAAATCAGTTTATACAAGTAATTCTTATTATAATCTTTTTATTGTGCTACAAATAAAGGACAGGGCAAGACATAAATATAGACTGTATAATTAGCTAAAAGTACTAAAATATCCCGCTGTTTATATCATAACTTTATAATCCTGTAAGATTCGAAGGCGCATGTTATGAAATAGGTAGAAGAATTCCTTAAAAAATTATAATCAATGACACAATAGAATACAAATATAATAGGACAATCAAATCAATAGAGAATAACAGGTAAACAATGATAAAAAAAGTTGTTATATTTAATTAATGTCAAAATGCGACAATTTTTTTATAAATAAATGTAATAAGTGAAATCAAATTGTTATAAAGTTTACATACGTATTTACAATAACATTTTAAAAAAGAAAATCCAGACGACATATAAAGTACATAATTATTACAAAATATAATGTCATTAAAAACTAAATTTCGTTAAATTAATAATTTTATTTTAACTATAAACTACCAGCTGAAAAATCATCTACTATCTGTGGTGATTAATAAGTCTTCAATAAAGAAATAATACAAGTAGAATATATTTAAAAGTTCAATTTAGATAAATTTAAAATGATACCCTATATTAAAAAAAATATAAATGCTCCAAAGAGTTAAAACAAAAAGCATTCGTAACTTTATCATTAAAAACAAATCGTAACGTAAAATTAATATCACAATTTCAAAAACACCACAGATTTCCAGGCGGATTCTTAATTTTTTATCTATGCTGACCAGGGCCGTGCCTGGGTATATGGCCGCCTGCGTGCCAGTCTGTATGGCCGCCCCCAGGATAACATTAAAAAAAACTACTTTAATTTTTAATGTTTATTATTTTACACAGGGCATCAAACCGGGAAAAAAATCAGTTTTTGGTTAACCGAAATCGAGAACGATAAAAAAACTTTTTAAATCGAGAAAACTTTCGAAATCGAGAACGATAAATAAACTTTTATTAAATTTCACCACACGAACACACAACTAAAAGTTTTCAGGAATTAAGCAATTTATTTTTATTCGTTAAATTAAAGAATTTAATAATATCGGATCACACACAGGACACAAATAACGATTTATCCTCGCTAGTCTATAGACTAAATACGACTAATAAGACGAAATCCGCGACGCCGTCAATTGAAAAAACTATATCGGCTCGTCGCTCGTGCAAAGTTCGCAAAAAAAAAATTGGATTCGCTGCATGACTAGGTATATAAATACTACAACGACCTGCATTTCTGAGAAACTCTTTTTAGATAGATTAGATTAGAGAAACTGTTTTTACTTCGTATCTTAATGAAAACAAACCGATTGTATTTTTGCCCAGTAAACAACTTGTAACGATTTGGCCGCCTCTTAATTTCGGCCGCCTGCGTGCGGTGCACGCAATGAACGCCCGTCAGGCACGGCCCTGATGCTGACGTAAATGCAGTCCGCCGCTCTATGCAGGTTCGTGAATGGTGTTGCAGGCCTGCACAGTTTCTGGCAACAACGAGCAGGACGCGCCTTGCATCCTGCAAGGGACCTGCAAGCTCCGCTCATCACTTGCAGTCAACCGCGCAGGAGCGTCAGTGGTTTGGCCGTCCTGCATAGCGGCAGTGGTGTCATGTGAAGAAAAAAAAATGCGTGTGCATCCCGGGAAGCCCGATTGATGTGATAACTAAAACTAAGTTAAAAAACTTTTTCATATTGAAATAGTTCAACTTGAGAAAAGCTTAGGTTATTACTTAAATTTTATGTATATTGGTATGATAATGTGAGGAAAGGTTATTTATTAATAAAAACTCTTATCTAACACCAAAAAAAAACATAGCAGAATCGCTATTTTCTTTTTTTTTCGATACTTCACGTAAACCCATAATTATTACAACAATAACACTGACACTATGATGGACGGCTTGCAGGATAGTGTGTGGGCTACATCCTGCTTTGCAGTCCTGCACGGCGGACTGCCAGACAGGATAGTGAATGGGCCCCGTTAATAATCGGAATGCTATATTTCAATCTACTTATTGCCAACATAACAAAATTCATAAATTGATTGACCAGTGATATTCAATAATTATTATTTATAATCTACATTAAAGCACATAATTTGTGGAACGCAAGACGCGTCCGTACCTCACAAATCCGGGCAACCTACGACAAACTAAAGTCTAAAATAATTGAGGAAGTGTCCAGTCTGCCACCAGTGGTCGTTTAATAGATATATACTGCCAGTCTGCCACTAGTGACAACACATAACGTTAGGTACCTTATTAGGTATTCAAATGTGTTCCTTAACGTAATTTAAAAAAGTTTAACTTTAAATATACATTATTGCGTAGTGCAATAGTTCTCATAGTGGCAGTAATACCAAAAATGCTTTTCTGCCACATTGCAATATGTGACTTATTGCAAATTTTATCAATCAGACAATAAAATTACCAGTTGTTCTATGGGTTCGACTCTAAGGGGAAAACAGTAATAGGATTTGAAATATCTAAATAAGTTTAGTTAGATGCAAAAAAGCGGTACCTTTCCGTTAGCCGGGCCCTAATGAAAACGAATTTTTAAGACTCTTTCATGCGTTCCCGCCAGATCTCTCTCGTTAGCTTCTGGCCCCGTATTTTTATATTTACTCTAGGGATAGAGACCACAAATACACATTGAATTAGGGTGCTCTGTGGCTCACTTTGAAACTAGCCTATTACACTATAAGAATCCACAGAACACCATTATTACATGTTCTACCTATTGCGGCAGAACAACGTTATATTGTTGCCACTAGTGGTACTATATGTTCGTTAAACAGCCACCGGTGGCAGACTAAATACTTCCTGCAGTTAATATATACGCCTTCGATTATTGCAATGCTTTTATGATATTCATCTGAATTAAGAAGAATGCACTTGCTTTCTCTGCAGAATGTCTGTATACAATATAATTGGCATGAAAAACAAATACTGTTTTATAATAAAAATATAATTATTATTTTATTATTTAGTTCGGGCGCACGGAATGGGTCATCAGAGCTTTGATGAATATGATTTGTGCTAAATATGAGTCTGTGTGTCCTGTATTCCATCAGTCAATTCTTTTATCGTTCAAAGGTTACATAATATAACTCTTCAAAGAAATACAGCTAGCATCCTTAGCAACAAGTGGCAAGGACTAATTTTATACAGCGTGTCGTTACAACCGCGACATAAATGAACACACGTCTAACGCTACTTGCTAATAATCAAAAAAAATATAAATAATTAAAAATATATTTTTCAAACAAACTAATTAAATAAAAAGGAACAAAATTTGTAACCTATACATCTACAACTGCCTGATTCATACATTTAGAGACTGTTTCATTCGTTGCCACAACGTCGCATTATAAGTCTCTCCTTCTAACAGTATGTTTTATCTCTTTTAAACTCATTCAACCCATTCATATGCTTTGTGACCTTTACAAATGAACTTTACGTTACAGTTTTATACATAAGGGTGTTCTAAAAATGTTGATGATTAATGAATGTATGAATGTATGTATGAAATACAATTTTAAAAAGTTATCCTATATGTGTGTTCATTTATTGTCGCGCTTGTTACGACACGCCGAACACGTTATTATTTTAGAATATGTCACTAACGTGTTTTTGTAGTTATACTTCTTTTCAAACAAAACTGATGAGAGTATGATTCGATCGATACACGCGTACACCGATAGCCAAAAAGCGACATGAAGTTTGTTGCAAAACGACCAACTCGCCATGGTAATATAGTGAATATTACCATGGCGACCAATAACAACTATTGACATTTACCTATAATTCCATTTATAATTTAAATTTGTCATGACCTTATGTCTTTGGCAATTTGTCATGACCTTATGTCTTTTTTACAAACAAAGAGTACTGGCACAAGGGATGAAATTTTTAGTTTTCTTTCGTTACGCTAGAGAAATATAACTTACGTGTGTACATAAATGTAGACATATTTTTTTTTATTATAAACATTATTGACATAAAGGGACGATAATTTAGTTCTAAGCTAAGTTGTATTTTCCATTAGTTTATTTTTCGATAATAACTGTTATACACATTAAAAAATTTCAGTATATTTAACTTTAACAATAAATTTTCGTAAATCGAAAATGACATTAAAGTGTAAACTGTTGTTTTTCAATTTTATTTATAAGTCATGACTTTTTTTTTATGTAGAAAGGGGCAAACGAGCAGGAGGCTCAGGCTAAGTGATTACCGCCGCCCATGAACACCTGC